CATCCTTTTAAAGGTTTTATTTATTTGAGAGAGAAAGAGAGAGAGCACACGAGCAGGGGGAGCTAAGGGGGAGCAGAGCGGGAGGGAGAGGAAAAGAATCTCAAGCATGCTCCGTACTGAGCAGGTGAGCCTGATAAGGGGCTGGAACTCATGATCCTAAGATCATGACCTGAGCAGAAACTGAAGGTTGTTTGCTTAACCCACTGAGCCACCCAGGTTCCCTAGCAAGAGCATCCTTTTAAAAACAGCCTTCCTGTCCCTGGGATTTTTGCTGATAGGTCTGCAGTAAGGGCCCCAGGAGATCACTTGAGGCGGGAGGAAAACCTTCTCTAAGGGAAGTGGAGAACTGAGCTCTGGATTCTTTAGTGGTCCCAGATGGGAAATCGTTTTCTTCTGGCCCATAAAACAGTTGTCTGTTCTGCTGTGTTTTACTACCAGCGTTCCTCTGTGGACCAGGAGAAGCAGGCCCAGTCGGATGTGTTTGGGGTAGTTTATGCACCAGACTCCCAAGGAAGTCCTCAGGATGCCTTTATAGATTCCTTTGTCACACAGGCCACGTGTACTGCCCAAATCCAGTCAGCCCGAGGGGTATGTCAGGCCTGCAGTTAGGCGATAGGTTGGAGTCTCAGGATAGGTCTGGATTGGAGATACATACATAAGAGACATTGCAACCACTGATGGTCTTCCAAGCCCTGGAGGCTGAAACCTCCTTCCTGCCTAGACTAACCAGAGAGGATTCTGAACTTTGCAGTTAGGAAGCCTGACCAATACAGGGTTTGCAGTGCTAACAAGAACAGTGTTGAAGATGAGTCAGCTGGCAGCTGGAGTGGGGGCCTTCCAGTCCTGGCCAGGTCACAGAACACAGATATCAAGTGTCTGGGGCCAGTAGTGTGTCTGGTGGTCAAAGGAGTCAGAGAACTGAATACACCTTGTGAAGACAGAGGCACACAGCACACGAGATCACCCTCATTTCTGACACCCTTGCAAGTTTGATGGTCCCCAAGACCACACATAAATTCCATAATTTGCTCAAAGGACTCAACACACAGAAAGCTATCAATCTCATGGTGACAGTTTGTTAAAAGTGAAAAATACCAATTAAAATCAGCCAGGGGAAGAGGCTCATAGGGCAGAACCCGGGAAAGATCCTAACACAGAGCTTCCAGTCAACCTCTCCTTGGGGATATTTGGACATCTTTCCTCTCTCCCCCTGCCCTGCCACCCCCACATCAGTGTGTAACAACGTACACAGAGTGTGGCCAACCAGGAAACTCGCCCAAGCCTTGGCGTCCAGGGTCTCTACTGGAGCTTCATCTGTAGGCACTACTGACCACCCATGTGGGTAACTGCAGTCTCCAGCCCCTTCAGAGGTCCAGATGATGCCATGTAACCCCAAGTTGCCACCACCAATCACATTGTTAGACTGGCAGGTCCAGTGCCCCCAGGTAGACAAGACGCTCTGATCAAGCAAGACTTCTGAGTGGCTTAGAGATTACCTCTCAGGCTGAGGGGAAAGATCAGTCCTCTCTTTGAACTGTTTGCTGCAAAAGCCCCCCACTCCACTGCCATGATTCTCCAGGGACTCAGGCCCCACCTCGGGAGAAGGGGAGCAAGTGTAAGAGGAGAGACCATGAGCAAATACCCACCAGCTAAATTATGGAAGAGTCTCCTTCAATTATTGCATCGAATTTCTAGATATTGATTTTACAGATGTACCTGTACATATACCTGAGTGGATGTGTGAATAGAAGTGATGTATGGATAAAGCTATTCACTGAAGCACTATTTATTGTCAAGAGCTTGGCTGAGCTGGAAAGGGAGCTGAGCTGCCAGGTGTCACAGGGGCTGATTAAAGCAACAACAAACCAAAATGAAAGTAAGAGGGAAGCCTTTAGTCATTCACTCTGATGATGGTGTAAGAGGCTCAAACTGGAAGAAGTACCGACAACCCCCTCTTCCCTTTCCCCCTTCAAAATGCATGCTGGTGGATCAGTTGGGTAAGTGTAGATGTGGGGATTGTTTCACTGCTGAGGAAGCCCCAAAGAGAAGCCTTGGGCAGTTTTATGGACCCTGGGCCAGCAGGGAGTGAGGGGGTTGTGGGGGGGGGTAGGGCTGGGAGTAAAAAGTACTGAGTACTGAGTCACGGTTGGGGAAAGTGTCTGCAAGGCATCCCCCTTCTCTCCCTGTGAAGGGTCCTTTGCAGAAGCACCTAAAGATCTCTGTCGAGGGCCTCAGATGGAGTGAGGGCCGACGGTGCCTGGGCTAGGAACGCAAATATGCAAAGAGCATGATGGGCCAGAAGCATTCCCAGATCCAATGCCCTGGCTGTTCACCAGGTCTGGTGTGGGGAGGCCAGCCTTCCCCCAGGAGGCCTGTCAGACAAAGCCTTTCTAATTGCCTATGTCAGGCCTCAGAAAGCACATGTAAGATTTTGGTGAAAATGCCAGACTTCTGTTAAAATAAGGAGGCGGACTCCTCATTTATAAAAGTAAAGTATTGGAAACAACATAAGAACCCATCAGTAGGAGATGGGTGAAATACATTGTGGCATCTCCCCACCAGGGAGATCCTATGCATCTTTAAGAAAGAGTGAGTTGTCCTGTATATATAAAAGCGTGGAATTAAAAAAAAAAGCGTGGAATTCTCTGTAGCAGTAAGGAGGGCGTGTGGGGAAGTCAGGGAAGAACAGAGGGGGAGCTACAGCTTGTAGACAAGAGGAGGGTCTCCAGGGTGGATCTCTGCTTGGTGTGAGGATGGAGTCCATGGTGTACAATGAGACTGTGGCCTGGATGGTTCTTTGACAGCTCAGAGTTCTGATCACTGATAGCAGAATGTCTTGTCCCAAAGCCAGTCCTATACAGGTCTGAGCTGTACAAGATAGTCATCTGCCCACAGTCAGACTTCAGGGTGTCAGACCTGTTATGTGCCAGCTGTGGTTGCCCTGGACCTATCTCAGCAAGATATGCTGACACTGTTACAAAACAAATGCGTTTAGTCTCACTGGATAAGAACAGACTTTCCTTGCTTTGTGAATAATAAATATTTTGTTCTTTTACAAATAAGCTCTGTCTCTTAGCAAAATGGTTGTCCCATACTCCTCAAGAACTTGCCTGGGCTTCCCCGAGTCTTTTCTTGGCATGTTCTGGAACGTCCTAGAATGTTCAGAATGTAAGTTTGCTTGCAAACTAGCCTGAGTTTCTTAAAAATATGCACAGGAGAACAACTTTTCCAGGCATTGTAGCAAACAGTTTTCTAGCACATATGGGATTTTGGGCTGGTGAGCTCCTACTCCACTGTGGGACTGGGTCAGTGCCCCTCCCATCTCCCCACAGCTGGGCACAGCAACCTGATTTCTGCTTGCCGGCATTTGTATTTCTTTGCCTGAGAGTTTTCTAAGGGCTGCTAGAGCCCTCTGTGCCAAGACTAGAAGAACCTTAGAGAACTAAGGTCCACCAGAAGATTCCCTCAACCAGTGAGTGGTAGGAGATGGTGTATAAATATTCCCGTTCCCATGGCCCTTGGGTGTGCACTCTGAAGAGTGTCCTGCGCTGGATTCCAGAGTTTTCCTGGTTGAACTAAGCTGCAGTCACCTTTGGTTTGATCATGTACCCCTTATAGGCTGCTTTCCCCCAACCCATCCCATTTTCTCTCCTCCACTGGAACTTCCCCGGATCTTCTTCCAAATAAACCACTTGGACTCATCTCCTTGTGTCCACGGCTGCATCCGAGGAGCCCAAAGTAAGGCAGGTGATGATCACATCAGCCATTTACCAGCACCTACTATGGCCCAGGCAACCCCAAGGGCTTGATATGAACTCATGGAGTCCCTGGTCACCCTGCAAGAAGGGATTCCCAATCACAGTTGACAGGTGAGGACACAGGACTTGCCTGGGAGCCCAAAGCAAGTAAACTGGAGTCCAGACTGGCTCTTTCCACCAAACCTGAGGTGACACTCTTAAAAGCAGGGACTGGAATGGGGTCTGTGCTGCCTCTACTTCCCCCACGCTGAGTCTATAAACAGGAGATGCTCAGTAAGCAGAGCCAGACAATAAACATCAAATCCCCAGTACAGCTAAATAAGTCTTTTTATGTAGATCACCATGACAACAGGCTTAGGAGGTGACTACTATCAGTATCATCCTTATTTTATAGATAAGGACCCTGAGTGGGCAAAGGGACCTGCCCAAGGCCATGTGGCTGGTAATGGACAAAGCCCAAGTCTATCACCTGTCCACCATAAGGATGGATGATGCAGGTGGACAAGTGAACCAAAGGAAAGAGGAGGGAAGATGTGAAGCCATCGCCTACCCTGCCGACAGCTGGGTGACAGCACAGTGTCCCATCTTGGAATGCATCTCTGTCACACACAGGGTAAATGGGTCTATTCCTTGTGAATTATCTGTTAGCCAGCAGCTCCATCCATCTGCTCATTAACACTATAAAAAAAATATCAAATGAGCCTTCTGATTCCCAGTCCCCGGAGGCCCAACTACATAACTTGGAAATGACTCTTTAGTAAGTCTGATCAAAGGCTGGTTGTTCAGTAATTAGAAATCATGGCCTCTTCCTCCGGGCTTAGGGCTCATAAACAACAGTTGGATGAGCTTTTTATTTGGGTCTGACCAAAAACCTAGGGGGATCCATTTCCTCCTAATTTATACCCATTTCAATGGGGGAGAGCAGCAGGAGGCTGAGTTTTTGCTCTGGGAGACCCACTGGTGCCCTTGTCTGCAGCAGGCAAGAAGTGAGGGAGGAAGCACACACTGAAGTGAGCCCATGAGCGGCCCATGCACTGAGATAGACAAATGCCAGATCTGAGCACCAGGGCCAGTCTGGGGCCCAGTGGGGAGTGGAATCTCTTGTTCTCTCATTGAGGTTCCCACAGCAGCAGCCACTGAGAAAGGGGAGTGTGGTCAGGGTTGAGCCTTGGAGACCATGGATGGGGCTAGCCATCCAAAGACCTCTCAGACAAAAGAGAGTGGGTGGTAGAGAGGCTCAACTAGGTACCAAGTGGTTCCTTCATTGAACCATTCAATAAATATTTATTGAGGATCTACTAAGTGCCAGGCACAGGGATCAGATGATGACTAAAAAAATGATGCCTGCCCTTAAAGACAGTACAGGCCAGTGGGGGAAGATGGTCCATCCTGGGAGCAGGGTGGTGGTGGGGGGAGTAAAGCCCAGAGTCAGAGATGGTGTGAGTGCACCTGCTGAAGAGGAGCAGTGTGGGGGCAGAAGCCAGGTGGAGCTCTCCCTGAGAGCTGAGAACAGAGAAGTCTTCATCTTCCCAGAATTGCCAGGACTACGCTGCACATCTGGAAATGCAATTTGCCAATCCGGCTGTGTCCTCCAAACCCCGGCTGTGTCCCTGCCCTCAAGCTCTCAGGTACTGGAGGTTGGTGCCCAGGAACAGGAAGTCCTAGAAAAGACAAGACAGGACAGGATGGCAAAAGCATTCCCTACGCCAAAAAGATGCATCTCCAATATAAAGGGAGGCCCACGTTGGGGGAAGCACAAGCTCTTCCAGAAACCAGGTCAGAGCATAAATCGTGAATGTGCCTCCATCCCCAAGGTTTCCATAAAGCACAGCTTTTGCCAGCCACCTTCTCTAAGGTGGCAATTTATCTGTCATTTCCCAAGCTGCTGCTTCCTGGCAGGCCCCATAAATGTCCTTTGTGTCACCTAAATTTTCTCTACTTCACAAATAACACAAAATTGCGCACCGCTGAGGTTTACTCTCCTAGCTCCTTGGAAGTTTCCATCATCCGAAGAGGCGGGAACTCTGAACTCAAGTCCATATCCAATCCTCTCCTACAGTGATCCAGCCCTTGTCTTTGGGGGTCAAACAAATGACCTCAACAGTCTAACGAGCATGATAGCTTATAATAAATCTTCTGATGTGCCCTGCTGAGGCCAGCTGCGTGAATTGTCAGTCCTTACTTCAAATAACCAGCTGTCTGACTCCTTGTAAACACTCAGCAGTAGGATGTTGAGCATCTCTGGACCAAAAGGACTTTGGATATTTTGTCTTCCAAATACAGCAGTTGGTCCATGTTTCCAGGTCCCTGACCACTCTGCTGCTTTAGCGGCTGTTACTTGCTGGATGTTGACGATATACCAGACACAACGCAGCATCGCCCTTATTGCTCACAGGGCTACCCAACCCAGCCATCCCACCTTACAGATGCTATTCTAGAAAGATAACCTGAACCGTGGGCACAGACAGACCAGAAAACACATGGTCAGAACAGTGGAGAGAAGAATGAAGATCAAATGTATTCCTTGGTATTAAAATAGTTCCATAAATTATGGTCTCTGATGAATACAACTGTATTAACATTGGAGAGGCAGGGATAGATTGCAACAAAATAGAAAAACAGCAAAGAAAGAAGACAGGCATAAGTATGACCAACGCAACTATCTCCAACAAACAAACAAATGAGCACACAGGTTTTAAAAATACCTAGAGAAAGCAAAAAGACTGGGAGGCAGCACACCAAAATTCAAACTGTGTGCCTGCTGGGGCAATGGGTTTATGAGGGGGGAGCACCTCAGACCTGTATGTCTGATAAAGCCTTTCCACTTAAGAATCTAGAAGAAATTTTCAAAACTTACAAATGGCTTTTAGAACCTGGGCTGTTGCCTTGGCAGTGTTTTCAGGATGAGCTGGTCTTGTGGTTTCCCCAGGTCACCCATCGTGGGGGTGTGGAAGGCAGTGTGGCACAAGCTGTGTCAAATGCCCCCTGCCTCTGTAGGGGGGCCACTTCTGAAGACCACATGGATGGCTGCACGACATCTAGCCGTGCCTGGGGCAACCCTCCCCTTTCTGAGCTGCAGGGCCGGGTGGGGTCCCACCCACTGAGCTATGGCCTCTGAACCTGAAAAACTAACCAACTCCCCTCCCCAAATCCTCAAAAGTCCACCTGAACCCACTGACCTTGTGGATCTCCAGAACAGGGTCATAGAGCTGAGTATCCTTGAGCAGAGGAAGGGGGAAGCCATCTGCCAACTTCTCTGGAGGTTGGGGCATAACATAGAGAGATTTGTTAATAAATGACAATCATAAATAAAGTAATAGAGGGACGCCTGGTAGCTCAGCAGTTCAGCGTCTGCCTTCGGCTCAGGGTATGATCCCAGGTCTGGGGATCGAGTTCCGTGTCAGGCTTCCTGTGAGGAGCCTGCTTCTCCCTGTCTATGTCTCTGCCTCTTTCTCTGCGTCTCTCATGAAAAAATAAATAAAAACTTAAAAAAATATATAAAGTAATAGAAAAAACAAGTTTCCCTCTGCAGACTCTATACACAGTATGTTCCCATTTAACTATCACCAAAGATTATGAGGTAGGTAAGACTATTAATTCCATTTTACTGATAAGGACATTGAGGCACAGGGTGGCCAAGTAACTTGTTCAAGGTCATAGAGGCAGAACTGAGATTTCAACTCAGGCAGGCTGCCACAGGAGGCTGAGCTCCCAGCCCTGCTGCTATATGGGAGGACGGGCAGGTATGGGGCGGCATACGATGCTCTCTGCCCTCCACCCCTGTCCTGCTTTCTCTTGCAGCCAAATGAAGCAGAGCCTTCTAGAAACAGCGTTTAGGGCTTTATGCTTTATTTTCTGACTAGGGAGCTGGTAATTGACTGGGAAACATGAATTCAGAGGTGAGCTGCCCTGTGCCCTCTATATTAACTTGGTCCTCAGTCTTTTACCTGCCATTTCAGGGTATAGGGGGCACGTTTCTGTGAGTCCTTCCTTCTCTCTTAGGAAGAGGTTTTCTATGCTCCAAAGAGCTCACTAGAGCCCTGGGGGGGTGCGCGGGGGGGGGGGGCAGTGTGTGGAATGAGACCACCTTCAAAGCGCCCTTCTCGCAGGCTGCTGAAGGTCAAGGAGGAGAAATGCCTAAGTCATTCAGCCTGCCGAAGAGCTCTGTTTGCCATCTCCAAGTCCAGCAACTTTTCCCTCAAAGGAGCACTGTCTTCCTTGACTTGGAAAAATCCCTAGTGATCCTTACCATTGACCTTGGGGTAGAGGGTGTGGAGAATGCCGTAGTTGAGTAGGGCCTCCAACAACTCCACCTGGTGGAGAACAGGAGAGATACACCATGACCACGTGTGCCACTTTGCCCACCAACAAACTTCCACAAGGTGGACCTGGGATTGGGGGAAGGGCTAGTTTTGTATGTGCTGACACGGCAAATAAGACTGAAAAAACTCAAATTTTGAATAGATGCCTACATCATGCTACTATTTAATGAGATAAAACTATTTTGAGACACACATTTATTTGTGTGCAAGAGACAGAAACAGGGATCCCTGGGTGGCGCAGTGGTTTGGCGCCTGCCTTTGGCCCAGGGTGCGATCCTGGAGACCCGGGATCGAATCCCACGTTGGGCTCCCGGTGCATGGAGCCTGCTTCTCCCTCTGCCTGTGTCTCTGCCTCTCTCTCTCTCACTGTGTGCCTATCATAAATAAATAAAAATTAAAAAAAAAAAAGAGACAGAAACATTTGGAAGATTATACACCCAACTGTCTTTCCTCTAGGAAGAACATCAAGGTTTGGTTTAGCCTTGTCTTTATTTTTTATTTTCTTTACAATTTAATTTTTTTCACAGCATGTTATCTTGAATTGCTTGTATAAGACATACTTTTTAAAAATTGTTGAAACAAAAATTATAAAACACCACTTTTAACTCCATGTACCCAGTATAGGGCTCAGAGCATTACATATATATCTGATTCAGTTTTCACAATAACCCCTTGAAGTTGGTATTACTGCCCCCTCTTCACAGACAAGAAAACCGAGGCCACAGAATGAAAGTGACTTTTAGGACCAGCAGCAGGGGCAGAATTTGAACCCGGATTTATCTGATTCTATAGTTCTTGCTTTCTGCATTCTGTGTCCCGAAATCTGATAACTTTTTGTGAATCTTTACATGTGAATGTTTTACCTCCGAGAACTTTCTTACATGCCACACACAGATGCAATATTAGTGTGTCATCATTTACTTCCTCCTTCATTCCCTGAAAGGGGTCATCCTTTGGGGTCCCTGTGAGCAGCGTCTCTCCCTACAGGTTATACATTTATTTCCAAGTTGTAAGTCCGTAAGGGAGGATCTGGGCAGCGCAAGGTAGGGGGAGGCTGGCCAGAGGGGCCAGTGTTAGCAGGATGGTGAAAAGTAAGATACTTATTACAGGTAAGTTCTACCCATTTCCTCCTTAGCCTCCTCTCATCAGAAATCTCTCCCTGATCACTTCTGCCCACACTGATCTTCCCACTATCTTTCTTATTTTAATATAGGGCCATCCATTTTGCCACTTGTCCCTCCTTGTGGAAATCATCTCTTGGTTCAGCCTGCCCAGCACTTAATTCCTTCTTGTTTCAATAACAGAGTCCCTATTTTCCCCTGGGGGCCCCCCCTTTCTGATCTCAGTCCATATGGCTTGGGACTGAACATCCTGGCTCCAAGAGTATAGGTGAAACCCATGTTTGTCCAATTTTAACCACAGTGATTGGCTAAAGAATGGCCACATGACTCAGATTAACCTAATGAGAGCTAGCACCTGGATTTTTAAAGAATTAAACTACAGGGGCACCTGAATGGCTCAATCGGTTAAGTGTCTGCCTTGGGCTCAGGTCATGATCTCGGGTTCATGGGTTGGAGCCCCACAATGTGCTCTCTGCTCAGTGGGGAGCCTGCTCTCCATCTCCCTCTGCAGCTCCCCCTGCTTGTGTTCTCTCAATCTCACTGTCAAATAAATAATAAAATCTTAAAAAAAAAAAGAATTAAACTACAAAATTTTCAGACTTTCCACCAGTGGGAAAAACCTGTCAGAGAACGAAGCCAACACAGATGAAAGCAGAAGGGAGACTTGGGGAGAGATTCTTGATGCACTAATTTGAGCACCTAGATCCAGTTTTGCCTGAAACTTCTAGCCTTGGTTTTTTCCATTTGTTTTTTAGTTTTATGACCCTATAAATTCCTTCTGTTGGCTTAAGACACTTTTAGTTGGCTTTCTATTCTTGTAGTGAAAAGAATTCTGTTCAACAGACAATTTAATTATATCTTATCTTCTACTGGGATATAACGGTTGTTTGGCCCTATGTTTCAAGTCCTTGAGAACTTCTACACTTTTCTATGGCACAGAGTAGCTCTTCTCATTTTTCCATTTTCTCCTATAGGTGCCATAATATTGTTTAGTTAACACACTAAATTAGTTAATACCTTAATCATTTCATAAATAAAAACAATAATAACTTACATTGAACACTCCAACTTTAGATTCTTTCAGTTCCACTCGTACCCTATAATGAATCAAAGAAGATTCAGAGATGGGGGCATTATGTCCATGGGAAACCTAAGCAGTGTGGGGGTCCCCAGAAAGGAGGTACTGGCTTGAGAAGACACAGAGCTGAGGACAGGGTAGGGATGGGACTGGAAAAGATGGTTAAGAACTCAAATCAGTGATACAACCTTACTGGGAAGACTCACAAAGGGGTAGTGTATGTCAGAAACTCAATATAGCTGATGTAGAAAATTTACAGATTGAGAAAAAGCAGTATTAGTAAATTCTTTAGAAATTTGGAAGTAATGGGGGATTAGGTGGAAAGGAAGTTTGTGGAGGCAGGACCAGTGGGGCAAAAGAATTGGGCCAGTTGGGGTAAAATATAAGTTTCCTTCCCCAATGGCAGGCCCCTACAGAGAATTGGGTACAGTGTCCAGATGGAAGGAGCTCAGTTGAGTGCCTCCCTGTGGGCAGGAGGCTGACTTACTTTCCTGGTTTCAGGAACCCAGTGATCTTGCTGGTGTTGAAGGTCAACGTGGCAGATATATTAGTAGCCTGGAAATTCCAGTAGAAGAAAACAGGTTTAAATGAGAAAGGTTGTCACATATAGGAAGGATACTATTTGGACCTGCTGTTTCCTTTAAACAAACAACTCAGTAAGTTAAAGCAGGAACTTATTCACTAGACTGCAGACTCCCCGAAGGCTCATCATAGGTACTCAATAAATGTTTGAACTTGGACTTGAACATTTTTTACTTGAAGTTGCTGACTATGATAGTGATTGAACTTTGAATAGATTACCACGAGGTATAGAGTGCCTATCCCTGGAGATCTCTAAAAGGATTGTTTCAGGGCTAAGAGTCAATTCTAGTGGTGATAATAATAAAAATAATATTTATAGTATATTTGGTTTTAATTTATAATATATAATAACAACAAATTTGATAACAACAATGACAAATCAAATTGCAGATATAGCATTTAGAAGCAATCATCCCTCCAGAAATTTGTCTTGTTGAATTTCAAACCCGAAACAAGAAAGTGAAGTTCTTCAACCAGTGAGCAGGAACCCAGAAGGACTCAGAATCCCTTCGCTCTTAGGGTACATTGAGAAAGGAGAGACACCCCCCCCCCAATATTTAACTCAGAGGGACTTTAACATAGGGACTTGGCTACAAGAATTATGGAATTGCCAAGAAGCCAAAGAGAGTTAGAGGGGCGACTCAGGTACTAGCAGAGGCAGGAAGCTGCTTCCACCACAGGACTGGAAGAGCAGAAGGAGGAATTGGGGTTATGGGAACCACCATGGAAGAGACGCAGTCACTGCTTGAGTCTCTGTCCAGGACAAAGACAGAGGAAGAAATATTCTGTCTTCTTCCTTCTTCCTGCCCTCTATTCTCTTCACAGAGCTTTTCATTTGCTGATTTGGTTAGAAGTCAAAGTCCAAGGGAGCCTGGGAAATGTAGTCTTCAGGGGTCAGATATAGATGCAGAGCAAACAAGTCAAAGACCCCTACTATGCCTTCCTCTCAACAATAGCCCTTTCTCACTTAGTGGGGAACATATGCATTAAGCAAATAAACCTGCAGACTGCTACGTAAGTATCTTTATAATAAAAGCTATGCAGAAAAATAATAGGGCGCTTTAAGAAAACAAAATGACAGGGGGCCTCTGATGGTAAGAGGCAATCCAAAAACTCCTCTCTGTGGAAGTGATATTTAAGTTGAGATCTGAAGGAAGGGGGAAGAGCATGCAGGAAAAGGGAACAGCATTTGCAAAGGCTCTGAACCTTACCACACTAAGCTGGAAGACAGGCTCCCTGATGGAGCTGGGCAGGAGCACAAAGGCTTCAATCTCCATGAGGGGTGCCAAAGACAGATTCCCGGGGCTGAAGTTCAGGAATGGGGCTGAGGCCATTGCTCCCTGGAGTTCCAAGTTCATGTTGGGGTACAGTCGGGCTAACTGGGGGCAGAATGACGATACTATGTCAAGAGAAGGAAATATGCAGGTTTACCAAGGGAACCCCGAGGGAGTTGGATGAAGCTGAGAATGCTTTTTAATTGATTCTATTTTCACAAAATGCTTTGTTCCCTTTTTCTCTTAATGGTGCAACTGGAGATCTTGCCCTGTCAGACATCCAGAGTCTGCACCATGTATTTCGTGACTGCATTGGGTTCTCTCGGGCATGGGTAATGTAACCACAGTGGGCATCAGGTGGTCTCCAAGGGTTTGTCTTAATGATCACTGCTATGTGTACCTTGGCTATTTGGGAGTGAGGGTGGGAGGATGGGGGACGTTCCTAGACATGGAACTGCCAAGTCAAAGGGCAGGGATATTTTTCAAGCCTTTTATGGGTATTATCAAACTGTCCTCCCAAAACATTGGGCCAAATGTGTCACACCCCTCCCTTCCTCCCTGAGCCCTGGGTGAGAGCTATTGTAATTTGGTAACTGTACACGTGGAGACCAGACCCCAGCAATTTTGAAATATGACACAACTAGATCCCACAGTTTCAAAAGTACTCACAATTTTCTGTTTAACTAGTATTTAACTTAGGGGCAAAACTGCTCCTTTTTAGGGGGAAGGATGACAGTCCCTGTAAGCTTTTTATTGTTGTTATGAAATGTGTAAACTTTACATTCTCTTGTAAAAGGGAGGCACTGAAAAGGTTGAGGAAGGTACAGAGCTTTATTTAGAAGGTGGGCTGAATTGCTTCTCTGCCAGGTTATTGCTGACATGAGCAGGAAGAGGGAGGGAGAGTTTCTTCCTCTTTCTAGGACATAAAGGATATTGGAGCCAGGATGTGGCCACCAAGGGCCCTCCCAATCTAGTTCTGACAAATTGGCAGCAGGATGAACGGTTCTGGGGCTCAAGGGAGAGAAAGGGCCTATGAGGCTACCTTATGGAAGGACACGACCCAGGTACTGCAGGACTTGAAGTTTAAAGTCTTTTCCCATTATAATTCTCTCCATCCTCGGGCCTTCTACAAGCCATGTTCAACACGACCGCCTGTCTGAACTGTGTCTTGGGAGGACTGGGAAGGTGGGGGAGAGGACAGGTGGATTTCTGCGGGATTAAATGATGAGCTGAGCCCCGCGATGACAGAGTTGCAAGGTTAGTCACTGCAACACTGCTGTAGCAACACCTGGCGACAACTCCAAGTCCTTCCTGGGAGACCCATTAAGCAAGCTATGGGGTAAGTCCATACAATGGCCGGCTGGGTGCCCAGGAAAACACGAGTATGGAAGCTCCTTTTCTACCTCTGCAGAATGATCTCCTAGGATGGTAAGGCAAAAAAATAAGGTACAAATTGGTGTGTATACTATGTCTCTGTTTTGTATAAAAATGGAAAAGATTCACAGCGTTTGTTCCCATATACATAGAATATCCCCAGAAGAATGTGGACTCTGTATGGGAACTGGGTGGTTAGGGGCCAGGGTGGACAGAAATTTTCCACTCTAGGATCTCTTATGTCTAATGTGTTGAACCATGAGAATTTAGTATTGAGTCAAAAAATAAATTTTAAAGGACCAGGAACAGTGCCTGGTCCCTAGGGTGCCCTCTGCAATCATCTGATATTATTAATTAGGATGCATTTGGTGGGACATGTTAGCATTCTTTGGGATTCTCAGATATCGTTGATAAAAGACTGGGCAACCTGTGGTCCCAGGGACATGGGGCTCAGGTCTCTGTTGTTTGGGCTTTGGAGAGAAGGGTTCCTGAGGCCTGCAGAAGGAAATACCTGCCTTCACTGGGGCCCTCACTGACACATTCTGACTCTTGGTTAAACTGAGAATAGTACCAAGGATTTTATTTTTTTTTTTGGTTTTTTTTTTTGTAAAGATTTTATTTATTTATTCATGAGACACACACAGAGAGAGGCAGAGACACAGGCAGAGAGAGAAACGGGCTCCTTGTGGGGAGCCCAATGCAGGACTCGATCTCAGGACCCTGGATCTGGACCTGAGCGGAAGGCAGACACTCAATCACTGAGCCACCCAGGCATCCCTTGTATCATGGTTTTAAAGAGAAACCACTAGAAGGCTAGTGGGTTTGGCCTGTATCTGCCTAGGCCTGAGAGAAGGCTTACCTTGGGGACTAAGGGGCGGAAGGACTTGGTGGTCAGACGAATATTAGAGCCAGGGGGAACCTGCAGCAAAGAGATACAAAGTTTTATTTGGGTGCTCCCACTGCAGCTGAAGGTCTAAGAAAGATGGGGAGGTGAGGGGCAGGGATACCATACTACCTTGGTTACCATAGCAACAGTGAGTTACCTGCCCTGCACTCAGCACAAGCACCAGTTGCCAGAGTCCTGGCCACTCTCCTCGGGACATAGGTGACATGTGGGGCACACCCAGAGGGTCTGTGGTGGGGAGATTTGCAGTCATAAGGACCTAGGGATGGCTCCTGGCTTTGTTACTGTGTGGTCACAAGCCAGTCCCTTCACCTCTCTGAGGTTCAATGTCCTCATCTATAAAATGGGGATAATAGGAGCTCCCACTTCTCAGGTCATTGTGAGGGCTAAATGGGACGGTGGGTACAAAGCACCTAGCACAAGGCCCAGCGCATAACTATTATAAAACACCGCTAGCATGATCCAATCCACTAAAAGAAAGGACTGCACCACAGGCGGGGTGGGTTATTCAAACACGATAATAGAAGTAAAAGGCCTGTGTGTGAGTGTGAGAAGTTACTGAGAAGACAAAAAGCCACTCCATCCACCCATGAGATGGTCCCTCAAATATTATTAGAGCCAACTGATCAACCAAGTGGGGCTGCACTGCATTTCCCTCATCATCCTGACATTGTTCACGAGTCCTCAGCTTTACAAAAGGCCACAAGAAATAATTTTCTGAAACCCAGAAGTATTAAAGAAACTTGAGAATTATTAAAGATGTGGTCCACTATAAAATTTAATATTCCTTATACAAAGTCCCACTTGAGACACTTGTTTTAGAGGTAAGTCCTAGGAAGCCTTTGTCTCTCCTTTCACCAGGAATCATGAAATCATGGACCTTTTTCACTTTGGCTATAAGGAAGCTCCCAAATAGATTTTTTATAAGTGCTTTCATAAGTGTGCTTTACTTTTAACTTGGTCTTAATTTCCTACTCAATAAAACTTTATGCATTTATTAGTGTATCTATTATCCTGCCTCACTTACTAAATTTTTAGAAGTTTTAAAAAAAAACTTCTACAAACCAACATGAGAGAAAATATTAATTAGAACAACAGGTCTAGAGTGGACAAAAGTAAAACACAGACAAGGAAGTCACAGTCTTTCACGGTTCTGAGGGAGAAAGGATTTTGGCTTGAACTTCCTGGCAACCAAAATGAAAAGGGAAATTGTGCTAATGTAGATATTTCCTTGTCTGAATATTTTTTCTCAATAACTTCCTATTTCATTTATGTAAATGGGATAGAAAGGAAAGAAGGAAGAAGGACAGGTTACCCTGTCATTTGTGAGTGCTACTTTGCCACCATCCTCACTCACCATGTCATCTGTGATGGTGAAGTTCAGGTAACCTGTCTCATGATAAACCAAGCTGGCTGTGTTGAAGACATAATCAGAGACGGCGAAGTAGACCATTCGGCTGTGTTCCTCAGGAAGGCTCATGACAGGAGCCAGGAAGGTGACTGGGGAATAGTGATCACGGTTAAAGATTTCACCCTGGAGAGAGAAATAGGATGCGCTTGAACTTTTCAAAGTCTACCCCAGGGCTAGACATCTGACTTGGGCAGTTGGCTCATATAGCCTGATGAGGGGGCACTGGCAAGTCGTTGCCTAAAACTCTCCCATTAAAAGTATTTTTCTTTGGATCAAAGGGTTGTGTATCCAGAATTTATAAATGAAAAGCTCCCCGGTTGTGGCAAATTAGCCCATTGTACGCTTTGTGCCATCTAGCCCAGTTCTGATTGACCTCACCTGCATGGTAGTCAAGATGAGGAGGGGAAGAGGGTGAGTTTCAAGTCCCAAGAGTTGTAAGACACCTGTTGGGGCCCTGGCTCTTGAAACACTCCCCACCACTCCATGTTGCCCCATCCTCGAAACAGCTGGAACCACTTGGGAGATGAGGACAGATCTGAAGCCAGAGAGACAGGAGGCCCCAAGTAAGGGCTGCCCCTGAGGGTACGGTACACTGGGGCCGAACCCATCCAAGCCCCTGGTCTAGGACTCTCACCTTAAACATCACGTCCAGCATTTGGGCTGTTACCCGAGGGGCTTCCACTAAACTGTAATCAATGCCAGCGAAACTGTCGATCTGTGTTGTGACTGTGAACCAGGAGAGAGGAAGAATTAGGAGCCAGGTGATGGGGGCTCCGACTGAGCCACACTCTTCTGACTTTCATCAGGGCCTCCTGCCCCTCTGCCTCGAGACCTTCTACCCAGCCCAGACCTGGAGCAAAGAGCTGCTTCTCCAAAGAGAGATGACATGGTTCTTCTGTCCCACTGGTGGGCTTACGATGAAGAGGTGGTATGCTCAGCTGGGGCCTGAGTGGGTTCTGGGTTCTCTCTCCCTCATACAGACACACACATGCACACACACACACACACACACACACACACACACACCTGAGGGCAGGAGGAGCCCAGCTCTGGCATCCCCTCCATACCTGGAACTTCATGCCAAAGAAGCCACAGAATGGGGAGAATTCTGCACACACACACATATATATATATATATATATATATATATATAGAGAGAGAGAGAGAGAGAGAGATTTTATTTATTTGAGAGAGAGACAGAGACCGTGCAAGCAAGGGGAGAGGCAGAGGGAGACAGAGAAGGTGACTCTCCACTGAGCAGGGAGCTCAATGTGGGGCTCGATCCCAGAACCCTGGGATCATGATCTGAGTTGAAGGCAGACACTTAACCAACTGAGCCACCCAGGTGCCCCTTTATTTTTATTATTTTTTAAAAGATTATTTATTTATTCATGAGACAGAGAGAGAGAGAGAGAGGCAGAGACACAGGCAGAGGGAGAAGCAGGCTCCATGCAGGGAGCCCGACGCGGGACCTCGATCCTGCGTCTCTAGGATCACACCCTGGGCTGAAGGCGGTGCTAAACCGCTGAGCCCTGCCCCCCTTTATTTTTATATACAAAAGAAAAATATCTAAGAGGTTATATCCCAAACAGAAGTTACCTCTTAGAAGAAAATCTGGGGGTGAAAAGGATACTTAAAGTTATTACTTTCTACATTTCTGTCCCATTTAAAGTTTTATAAGGTATGAATATGTGCATATATAAATTAATAGAGTATTCAGAGATGGATGGAGTAGCCTACCCGGCAGAGTTTGGAGATAAGGCTGGAGATCAGAGGTCACCGATTTCTGGAGCATTTCACAAATCTGAAACACATGGGAGGAGAAAGCCTGAGTGGGTCCCCCTGGCTTTGGTCTGCCACTGTGCTAATCGCTTTAGTCACGGTCTTTCATATATTTGCCCATTGGTCGATTCTACAAAAACTAGATCAGTGCTTATCATGTGCCACGTGCCAGGAAACAGAAATGATCAAAAACATGCAGGCCCCCACGTGGACCTCCATAGGGTCCAACCAGACCTTTCCAAGTTCCCAGGGCTAGACATCTGAGCTAGCTAGTCAGCTTCCCAGCCTGGCGAGGGCACATGGGCTGGAGGCGCTGCCCGACATTCTACCTTGAGAGATACTTTCCTCTGGGAGGTGCTGGCTTCTCAGAATTTAGAATTGAATAGCAGAACTAGATGGTCAGTAGAAATAGCCACACACACAGGTGTACTTAGTAGATACTTCTCAAATGTCATCCCTTAACAAGTTGGCTGGACTGATCAGTATTCCACGTTTCCCCTGATGCTCATGTCCAGGAGGCCACCACACAGTAGGCACGCACACTTCGTGGTGGCCACTTGAATGACGTGCACCTCACGAAGAGGGAATGTGTGTTCCCAAACCTGTTTGCTATACTTGCTCTTGTAATCGCTCGAAGTATTTATTATGTAAACCAACAGATTACGACCGAGGGAAACTAAGTACTCTGGAGAGGTGAGCTGCTTAGAGAAAATACTGTTAGACACTCTTGGTGTGAACAAGCAAACACTTAGGAAGGAAGAAATCATAAAAATCTAGAAGGATTCTTCACTGGGATTGCTTTGCAAATGTCTTTGAATTCTCATTGTGGTTAAAGCAATCTGAGCTGGAACGTGTAGCAGATCAATGTTTCATGCACGAAAGACAAAGTCCAGTGTCAATCAGGAGACTATTTTCAAAGAACAGTTCTGGGCCCTGTGTGAAAAGATGACAAACGGATTTGTATTTACTGTGTCTTAAAATGTTTAGATTTATATGTAAATATTTTCTGTGTTCATGTGTGTATGTGACCCCCACAGTACACAGTTGTTTTGACTAAGCAGCCACCACCTCTTGTGCAGATGGATCCACGTATCTAAGGGGGGTGGGCTCCACCAGCGTGGGAGGTGACATTTTAAGGGCAGGTGGAAAGGTGAGCAGGCATAAATCAGGCACATGGGGGATGTGGGGAAAGGTCTGTGCTGGACGCTGGGCAGGCAAAAGGTGAAATCTTAACCTTCCCTTTGCAGCTGGCTCAGTTTTGGGAGGGGAGTTTGATCAAGGGTTGTGGCCAAAAAGCAAAGAATGGAGGTGGTGACGGACAGTCACAGTTGATTTCACAGGAACCAGGAAACTGCTGGCCTCACTGGAGACTCTTCCCTTCTCGCTAAGCCCTCAGACAAAGGCCCATCAGATCTTTCTAAAACCTTCCTGAATGCCCCACCCCTAATGGGACCTGCATGATGGGGCAAGGAAGGCTCTTTGGCCCTCAGGCCTCCTAGAGAGGCAGGTTAAGGGTGTAGTAGGTGAGTTGAACAAACCTACGTTCAAATCCTGTCCAATCCTCCCACCCCCTACCAGCTGTGTGACTTTTGCAGAATCTCTCCCTGCTTTTGAGTTCTTACCTACAGGATACAAGGCCAAGTGCTTCCCAGAGATTGGGCTGGGAGAAACATGGGATGAGACAGTGAGTATGTATGACCCAGAGAGCAAGCATACAGGGAGTGTTTATTCTTAGTCCTGGTGGTCAGATACTGCCAGTGGGGGAATTTGAAAGGTCCTGTACCAGGCTCTTTGTTTTCCTAGATGTAGCAAATCTCCAAAGACCCATAAGGGTCAGGGATCAGGTGAGATCTCTATCTTTCCCAAGACACTCGCCCCTAAAAGACTTTTGGTACAAACTGCCTCACATTCTAGGAAGTTCGAATGCTGACCTAGCGCCTCCCTAGCAAGGTGACCACTGGGCAAGTTACTCCACCTCTCAGAGCCTCCTAGGTCAAATGTGGGAAATGGCACTTTCTTCGAAGGTCGTGGTTAAGGTGGAGAGTTTGTTCAGTGGTTGAAAGCTTAGCACACTATTCCTGGCCAAACCACAGTCTCAATAAATAGCCGCCATTGTTATAGATAAGAATAGTTACACAATGATATATTCTGTATCACATTAATTATATTATTTAACCAAAGCGAAATGAATTGCATATATCAAAACCAATTGTAGTATATTACTATTATTGTATAATATTATTGCTAATCTTTATTTGAACCATCATCAGCAGGGTAGTATAAATCCACACCGCTGAAGAATACTGTGTCCTACTGAGAAAGGCATGGCTACATGGAAATGAGGTGCTGAAGAAGGAAGTTGACGTATTTCCCAAGCTCACCTAGACCCCAGGACCCCAGAATAAGAAAAGGAATAGAATGCAGTTTGCCACTCCTCATCCGTGAGGTCTTCTGCTATTCCCACTATTCCCACTTCAACCACCAGGGGCACTCAAAATGAGACTGGCTGTTGGACCCAGTGGAGACCGTGTGTGTGTGTGTGTGTGTGTGTGTGTGTGTGTGTGTGTGTGTGTGTGTGTCTGTGTTCCTCTTTCCTCCTTCATGACTTTCTCCTTCCCAAGCACAATCATTGCTACATACGTACCTCCAGGTTCATGATACCTCAGAAATGGTATTTTGGAGGTGAAGTGAGTATTTGCTAACATGAAACCTCTGTTTTAGCCAAAGATTTTGAAATTTGGAGATTTTACATAGGTGTTTGTTTTTGTTTTTGTTTTTGTTTTTTTTTAATGGGGAAAACTGACAGCCTGTGGCTGCCTTCTCCTCTTGGGCAGGTGCTCATGAGGTAGGAACCAGAGCTCTCACCTGGTTCTCACATTCCCCAAGTGTCCTGCCTGGTATCTGTAGGCACCTAAGTGCTGATTTCCTTTTTTGGCCTTGTGGAGTGCAGGGCATTGGGGGACAGTGAACAAAGTCAAGGAGAGGGAGGGGCAGGAGTCCCTGTTGGGTCCCTGCTGTGTGAACCACTGGCTGAACATCTAACCATTCTCTGCCTCCCTAAACATACTTAGAGTCCAGAGACCTACATTTTGCCCAGCTTGGCCACACACTGGCTCCATGACCTCAGGGAAATGATTCATCTTCTCTGGGCCTTGGGCCTAAGTATGTCTGGGCCAGTCCTCCTGGCCATCCAGCGCCAAAATGAAGGCTTACACCTAGCTCTGGAGTGGCACAGCAGATGCCAGCAGTTTGGACATTCCTACCTTGCTCTCCAATACTCTGCAGAACTTGGACTCAATCTGGTTGTGGAAGAGATTCATCAGCCACCTGGGGAGAGAGGCACAGAGGACAGTCAGCTGTGTGCCTCTGAATGTGGGGACAGTGAGGCAGCAGAGAAAACCAGACCTTGGCCTTTGGCCAGACCAGTCCCCAAGGGAACTCTTCTCACCCCATCCTGGGACCCTGCTCTGTCTCAGAATCCTAGACAGGATAAAAATGCAGTGTCCCAGCTCCCAGCACACTCGCTGATTCGATGCATCTGGCATCCCAGCCCCCTGCTGCACCCAATCAGATTCAGTAGATTTAGGGAGAGGCTTGAGAATCCACATACTTCTAATCAAGGAAACTTGGACAAAAAGATATGTGTCCGAGGACTTGTACATTGTCCACACACTCTTCTTCAGGCAAAAGCCCTTGTGTTCCTCTAATAGATTTCATTCACCTGATGGTGGTCCCCAGTGTATTCCGGCTCAAGCCTGCATCTGTTGATCTCAGCAGGGTCCCCCAAAGAGTGACCTCCCAGTGCCCGTGATGTGCCCCTGCATTATACCTGGACATGTGTGCTTATCAGAGGCCAGGCCTTGGGTTGGATGGGGCTTGGGATGCACCCAGGGGTCCAGCTGGCCAGTGTGACTTACCCCAAATCTCCTGATATGTCCACCTCCACATCTTGAATGTGGCTGCTGCAGCTGGAGGCAGCGACGGTGGGCCTCCCAGAGGGCTCCCTGCCCAAGACAAGGTTCACTGAAATGGTGATACCCTTGACCTGCACATCAAAGGAACCCTGTAGTTTCCTGGAGGAGATGAGAAAAGCAATCATCAATTCCTAGACTAAGATCAGCCACCATTTAGGGGGAAAGATGAGCTCAATTCTTACCCCAACATAAGAGGAGCTAGAGCAAAATCTTAAATATGAAAATTACTATGAAGTAAAGATTTATTACAAATAAGACTGCAAGAGATCAGGAAAAAAGCCCGGGTGTAGTTATTTGTGGGAGGGGGTGAGCAAAAGCCTTCCTAGGCAGGATCCAAGTCTCAGGAGCCTTAGAGGAAATGGCTGATAGACTTGCCAGCATAGAAAATTAAAACTCCAGTGAACAAAAAATGCCATATTCGAAGTAAAAAAAAAAGTCTTTGCATGGTGAGCCAGCCGAAAAGCTAATTTCCTTAATACCCAAAGAACAAGCTCCTATGAATTAATAAGGAAAACACGAAACAACTCAAAAGGAAAAAAAGGGTGATCAAAGATATCAAACAGGAAGTTCAGTTGCAAATAAGCATATGAAACGTGATTAAAAATGAAAATAACAATGATGCCAGTTTTCACCTGTTGGATGAAAGTTCTGAAGCTTGAGAAGGTGTGGGTAAACAGAAGTCCCAGGTGCTGCAGTGGGGAGAGCACCTCTGGAATACAGATTGCTGGGATCCATCCTAATGCATGTTTCCGTCCTAGGAATTTTACTTCTAAGGCTACTCTGTGGCTCTTCCTGCCAAGATATATGCATGGGGCAGCTCATGGCAGCATCACGGGTCATAGCAAAAAGTGATGAACCACCCAACTGTCAACTAGTAAGGACAGATTCAGCAAGTTGTAGGCATCTATGCTATGCAGCCTTTGAAAAGAATGAGGGTAGAGGCACCTGGGTGGCTCAGTTGGTTAAGTACCAACTCTTGATTTTGGTTCAGGTCATGATCTCAGGGTCGTGAGGTTGAGCCCTGCATTGGCTCCGTGCTAGATATGGAGCCTGCTTGGGATTCTCTCCCTCTCCCTCTGCCCCAACCCCTGCCCCTTTCAAAAAAAAAAAGAACGAGGGTAAATATGGTCTATCTATACAATGAGACATTAATCATCCATAAAAAGGAATAAAGCACTGATGCATGCTATGATGTGGATGAACCGCAAAAATATTATGCTAAATGAAAGAACCTAGACACAAAATGTCATATATCGTATGATTCCATTTGTATGAAATGTCCCAGATAGGCAAATTCATAGAGAACTAATGCAGATTGGGGCTTGCCCAGGGCTGAGGGAGGAGGCGGTGGACAGTGATCTCCGGGAAGATGAAAACACTCTGGAGCTAGAGGGAGGTGGTGGTTGCACATCATTGTGAATGTACTAAATGTCACTGAATTGTTCACTTTAAAATGACTAATTTTGGGGCACCTTGGTGGCTCAGTGGTTGAGTGTCTGCCTTCGGCTCAGGTCATGATCCCGGGGTCCTGGGATGGAATCCTGTACTGGGCTCCCCGCAGGAGACTGCTTCTCCCTCTGCCTATGTCTCTGCCTCTGTTTCTCTGTATTTCATGAATAAATGAAATCTTTTAAAATATAAATAAAATGGCTAATTTTACATTACATGGATTTTGTGTTATGTGAATTTCATCTCAATGATAATACTACATTAAAAAGATAAAAAAAAGAATGAGGTAGATTTTCAAATGCTCATACAAAAAGATCTTAGCTGAAAACAACCCAGGACAGAGAGCATAGTTTGCTTGTTTTCCTGGAGATCGAATGAATGTGCACTATGGTGACGTGTATCCTGCACATCTTTGTAAAGCAAAAGAAATAGAATGTGAATCCCATAGGCAATTAAAATATTTCTAGTAGCCACTTTCAAAAAGGCAAGAAGAAAGAGGTAAAATTAATTTTAATAATAAAAGAAAAAGAAAACGAAAAAAATTAATTTTAATAGTATATGTTATCATTTCAACATAACAATATAAAAATCACTAATGATATTTCTTCTGGGGTTTTTTTGTACCTAATCTTCAAATCTCATGTTTCACCCTTATAGCAGATCTCAATTTGTACCAGCCATTTTTCAGGTACTCAGTGAAAACACATAGCTAGTAGCTACTCTATTGGACAGTGCAGGTCTAAAGTATCAATACAGTCAGGTTGCCCAGAAAAGACTGGTCAACCCTTCTGTGATGGACTGAATTGTTTGTCCCCACCTCAAATTCACATGTTGAAGGCCTAAACCCCAATACCTCAGAATGTGACTACATTTGCGACACAGTCTTTAAAGAGATGATGCCATTAAAATGAGGCCATTAAGGGGCCAGCTGGCTGGCTTATCAGTGGAGCCAGAATTGATCTCAGGGTTGTGAGTTCGAGCTCCACATTGGATGTAGAGATTAAATAAATAAACTTGGAAAAAAAATGAGGCCATTAGGGTGGGCCAGAATCTAATCTGACCCTCATAAGAAGAAGACACAGAGAGACACCCAGGGTGCATGCACACAGAGGGACAACCATGTGAGGACATAGCGAGAAGGCTGCCATCTGCAAGTCAAAGAGAGAGACCTCAGGAGAAACTAGGCCTGCTGATACCCTGATCTTGGACTTCAAGCTTCCAGAATTTTAAATCACCTAGTGACATTTTATTATGGCAGCCCGAGCAGACTAACTCACTTTCCATCCACGGACCCTGGAGATCAGAGAACAGTTCAAGGTGCTAGAGAGTTCATGCTCCTGGGAGCCACCCTTGACCAAGGGCCAACAGGAAGAAGGGGCCATAATGGCTGAGTTGGGGTAACTCAGAGGTGTGCTCTGCCTGCATGGTCTCCAGAGGTCCCCAGGAGGGCAGAGCTCCAATCAGCTGCCAAGCTGACGTCCTTCCCTCTTTGCCTCCCTTCTCCCCACCCCTACGCCCATGGACATTTCCTGAGGTCATTTCCCAGGTAAAATACTTATATTTGAATTCTTGTCTTGGGACCTGCTGCTGGGGAAAGCAAACTAAAAAGATACAGGATTCTCTCACTTAACCACAACCCCATCAGGGAAGCATGAGAAGGGAAGAGACTCAACCAAGAGCCAGGACTCGGACCCCTGTAGGCTCCTTCCATCCACCGTGTGGCTTCTCTGATGAGCTAGGACCCAAGAAGGATGGGCCCAGGGCCCGAGAGCCTGGGAGCAGAGTCCACTTACACAAATGCTTTGCGCGCCTTCCACTCGCCCTGGACTCTGATGAAGGAGTCAGAGATGGTGAGGCTCAGGCCCTGGCTGGGGAGCGGCGTCAGAGCAGAGCCACCCAGCTCACAGCTGTGGACACTCAGGCTGAGGAGAGAGAGACAGTGTGGACAGCATCAGCCCCAGCTCCGAGCCCCGCCATCCCCACTCCCTCCCCGGGGGACTGGGCTGGAAGTCTGCTCCAGGCAGGTGTGTGCTCTGTGCTGAACCATGTGGCCACTCTAAGCACGTGGCATCTGTTATGTCACCTAGGCCTCTCAGAGGGGTCAGCACCATTCTTGTTCCCTTTTTACAGATGGGGAAATAGAACCACTTGGAAGAGATGCATTTGGCCAAAGTCACACAGTCGGGATCTGAGCCCAGGAATCTCATGATCGTGGGTGGGATCCGGAATAGGGGACATTGACACACTCCTCTGGGTTGGCAGCTCCTTCTTGGAGCCATCCTCTCCCTCGACAGATCCAGGTAGGGGGATCAGATTCAGGGAAGGCTGAGGCCAGCCTCAGGAAAAGACACAAAGTGCTGGGAGAAGCAAACCAAGACAACGCATATTGGGAAAACAATGGTCAAGTTCCATTTTATATGCCCAGCACATAGTAGTAGGTGCTCAATAAATGTTTGCTGATGGACTGAAGAAAAGAAAGAATGAGTGGAGCCATCGATGGGAGTGGGCAGGGAAGGGGTGATGAGCTGTGACTCAATTGCTCTTCTCCGTCACCCATTCCTTCACAAGTGTTTTATGCCTTTTTTTTCCCCTGGCATCAGCTGCTCATGTCTTGTGATCCTTTGAAGACTCAGCTCAAATGCCACTGCCTCTGGGAAGCCTTCCTTGACTCCCCTGGATGGACACACCTCAGCTCTAACAGTTGGGCTACTGTATTTAAAGTTTAAGGTCTATGTCCCCTTCCAGACTACATGCAGGGGCCAGATCGAAGGCTGGAGTATCACAGAGTCATCTCCGTGTTACAGATAAGGAAACCGAAGCTCAGGTCACACAGCTAGTAGGTCTTCACTGATATTTGTTGGATGAGTGAGTGAATGGGGGGAACCTAACTACCCCCCCCAGGACTTCCCTCTGAATGCTGCGAGGAACTCTCCCCACTGCTGGCCCAGGGAGGTCCTGGGGCTCTCCCTCCCCTCCCTCCCCATCCCCACCCCTCCTCCCAGCCACCTCAGGGCCCCACCTGTGGAAGTCATAGTGCCCACGGCCAATGGGCTTGATCTTGAAGTCCCCGGCGAAGTCGGGCAGCGTGATGCTGAGCAGTTTTTTCTGCAGGGCCACCAACCCCTCCCTGGCCACTGTGGATAGGAAAAAGCTGCAAGTCAGCCTGTCCTGCCTGCCTGCCTGCCTGTCTCCCCTCTAAACCCTTCGGTGGCTCCCACCTGCTCCAGGGAGAAAGGCCGACTTGCTTACACACATTAATGACAGTTACAGAGTATAGAGCCCCTGCTGTGTACCAAGTGACAGGAGAAGTTGGAGCATCCTCCATTTCACGGGGTGCCGTTATGTTGATGCCCAGGTTATGGGTGAGGAAACAGTGTCTTTGTCAGCAACCCCACGAGGGCAGGAGTGCTGCGTGCGCGGTGGGTGGTCCTCTGTCCTGCCCTTCCCCGCATCTAGCCCGTGCGGAAGACACTGTGAGGCCTAGAACCCCCGCGCAGGCATCTTTCTAGCTGGGTGACCTTGAGCAAGGCTTCAGCTTCACGTTCTCCACGGCAATGGCAACAGAGCTTTCTTTTCTGGGCTGGCATGAAGATGAAAAGAAATCATTGCAGGGCAAAAAGGGGGTTCGGAGGATAACGGGCGCGCCTAGCCTGGTGCGCGGCACACAGCAGGCACTCAGTAGATGCCTGCGACGGCAGGGTTTATACTATGACAAATATGGAAAGGACCAAAATGTCCAACTCTAGCCAATCAGCTAAGTAAACATGGTACAATCGTCAGTCACACACGGGAAAGGAACCAAAGGCACATTTTGCCTGATGTAGGATTTCAATATAAACAGGGCTTATTAGCACCCTTTGTTCTGATATGCGAGGGGTCCAGGATTCTGCAAGGGACGCGTGTAAACACAGAAGGCCGGGGCCTCCCTCTTTCCAGCTGGCACTCCTCCCTCGAGTGAAGGCACGTGCCAGTCCTTCTGCCCGAATGCTACCGCTGGGCCTGGCCAGGTGCCACTCACCTTTGTGCCTCCCCTAACCTCCTCCAAGAAGCCTTCCCTGATTTCATTTCCTCGACTCCCAACAACCCTGCCTGGGGGAATGTCATCATTTAACAGATTAAATGTTATCAAAATTTAAAAAATGTTATCAAATTAAATGTTATCATTTAACAGTCCCCCATTTAACAGATGAGGCAGCTGAGGCGCTGGTTCAGTTACTGTGGGGGGGGGTGTATAAACACCTCGGCTCCCTACGGATGGATGAATCCTGACGCTTTGTTTCAGCATCGTTTTCAAAAAGTCGTCCTGCTTTTGCTCGATTTAAAATCGAGATATAACATACACGAGAGACACTACCAGGTAATATTTAAAGGTTTAAGCACCCAGGTAGCCACCTCTCAGAGTCAGATGTTGCATATTTCTAGCACGGCTGCAGGCTCCCTCCTGCCCCCCACTCTCACCCCCCAGGTCATTGCCTTCCTCTGGAGGTCACGACCATTCCGTTATCATGATTTAAGACATGTTTTCAAGCTTGACTAAGAACCTAAGAACTTTCCAGTGGAGTTGGGCCAGTCAGTGGGTAGTGGCTGGGTTAATGACATCTTCTGGTTGCCCTCCCTCTCTCCTCTCACCTTCCCACTCCACTACACTGTGTCCTGGAATCTGCCCCTCAATCAACTGTTTGCTCCAAATTCTTATCCTTGTTGGCTAGTGAGGGACCCCGCCCAGACAAGCACCATGCCCAAGTAGCACAGTGGGTGGGTGACCCGGCCAGACTGGGAGCCAGGGCTGCCAGACTGGGAGCCAGGGCCACCGGACTGAGGGAGAGTGCCCCGTTGGTGTCCCCCACAGTATGCAGAGCAGTCTGGCGCCCAGCACGTTGGCCAAGTCCAGCCAACAGCCACAGCTTCTTACCATACTCGAGGCCCTTGTCAGTGATCCTGACGACCAGGCCGGGGTTGGTACCCAGGGCCCCAGGGATGGATGTGAGCAGGAATCTCAGCAGTAGAGAGGACAGGACCCCAGCCAAAACCTTCATCCTGGATTCCCAGTGGAGTGACCCAGGCTGGGCCCAGCTCCCTTAAGTAGCAAGGAGGCTGGAGCTGGAGTGGCTCCTGAAGGGGGGCGGTTCCTGGGATCTAGTTTGTTGCATCGGGAATGGGAGGCACAGAGACTGGAACTTGCTTGCGACACAGCTGGGGTCATGCGTTGCACTTAGAAACCAGTTACTGCTATACCAGGTCAGAGGGTGGGTTGGCCTGGCCCCAGGTGACAACCTCTGTCTATCCTTCCCGCAAAAAGTCCCCATGTTCATTGCTAGGAAGGCTCGGTGTTACAGACTAGGAAACCGAGGCTCAGAGAAGCCGTGTCACTCCCTCTGGCAAGTGGCAGAGCTGGGAGTCAAAGCCAGGTCTGGTGCCAGTCAGATTCTTTTCTCTTTTTTAAACAAACAGAATTGAGTTTCCCCCATGGGAAACCAGGCTTTCTCAAGCCTTGCTGGTGGTAAAATGTTCTGGGAGGCGACTTGGCAAATCTTTAAATGCTTGCATGCGCAGTAACCCTAAAGTTCTCCTTCTGGAATGTAAGTACATAATTACATCAGTGTGCAAATATGTCACTGCACCACGGTGCCCATTGCTGCACGGTATGAAACAGGCAAGGGAGCGGTGGGATCCACCCTAAAGGGTCTACCAAAAGGACATTGGCCAAATTAAGTGTGATACTTTTATTTTTATATATTTATTTTTAAAGATTTTATTTATTTATTCATGAGAGACACACAGAGAGAGAGAGAGAGAGAGAGAGAGAGAGGCAGAGACACAGGCAGAGGGAGAGGCAGGCTCCGTGCAGGAAGCCCAGTGTGGGTGAGACTCGATCCCTGGTCTCCAGGATCACCTGGGTCTCCTTCCCTGATCACCCCCACATTTCCCTGGATTAGAGAGAGGTCCTCCTCTGAGGTCTCAGAACATCTGCACTTTCTCCATCATAGCATTAACCACTCTGCTTTTTTAAAATTGTGGTCCTTTAAAAATATGTCCACAAATTTTTTTATACTCTTTCCATCAGAAGGTGGAGTCTCTGGGTCCTCTCTCTGACATTGGGTTGGGTCTCTGTGACCCCCTCAATGGGTCAAATGTGGCGGGAGTAACAATTTCTTCCCAATGATTCATAAGAGGCACTGGGATTGAGGGTGAGATCAGAACTTCCCCCGTTGAACACACAGAAGCCTACAGCCCACACCTCTGCTCCTCTCTACCCTGTTGTTACTACCCTTTGGGCTGACGTTTGTTGGGGTCCCTTGCACACCACCCCTGCCCCCAGCCTGGATGCTCCTGAGGGCAGGGCTGAGGCTTCAGAGTCCTGTGACCCCTGCAGCATGGAGGAGAGAGGCAGGATGGGGCAGGAAACTGTAGCTATGGGCTCCTGCCCAGTGCCAGCCACTGCAGTGGTTGTGCAAACTTCTTGGCCCTCTCACGCGGTGTCTCTGTCTCATTTTAGCTGGAGGATCTGAGGATCTGAGAGGTGTAATGATGTTGGTCACAGTCACCTGGCAGGGATTTGAACCCAGATCTGTGGGCATCATTCCAAAACGACGGTCAGGGGATGCTTCTCTGAGATGATGTGCTGAGCCGAGACCCCAAAGATGAGCAGGAGCCAGCCTCTGGAAGAGCCATTCCAGGCTGAGCCACGAGCAAGGACAAAGCCTGGCAGCCGGCCAGGGCTCCCCATGTGCCAGGGGCATCTGCTCCCCCGACTCAGCCCCCGGGGGCAGGGAGGGGTCCGGGGCTGCGAGCTGGCAACCAGGGTTCTGACCCGGCTCAGCTCCGGCCCGGTGTGTGACCCCCAGCAGAACTGTGCCCTCCTTGTGCTTCAGTTTGCCTCTGTAAAATGAGGGAGACAGAGCAGGTGACTCCCATGCGAAGTAGTGGAGGACAGACTGGAGAGTGGGGACCGCCTGGGGACACCGGCGTCATTCCTCTGGCAGCAGTCTGAGGATGTCCCAGACTGGGGGCTGTTGGCAGTGGCAGGAATTCCCACAGCAATGACCTTTGGACTTACACCTGCCCAGCCAGCCAGCATGCCACATGGCCCCAGGCCAGGCCTCCACCCCCATGGGTGCCCCCTCCTGGTTCAAGGTCCCTGCTGGTGACCCAGGACCCAGCAGAGGCTCCTGGGAGCAGTGTGACTCCAAGGCTGCTCAGAACCCCTGGGCTGGGGGTTCTTCTCTCTTCTATCAGGCTGTCTATCCGCTTGCATGACAGCGACAGCTGCCACTGTGCTCCTGCCACTCTCAAGTCCTACGGCAGTGAAAATGCCCTCCTTTTTTAATGAGAATGGTGTTTGTTGTGTTCTGATTACTAAAGTCTTGGTTGAAAGAGTTTGGAAAACACAGTATTTGGAAACCTCGGTGCCTGGAATATTGAGCAGCACATAATAGATCATTGTTGAAAGAGGGAATGAACATAAAGCAGGAATTAGTGTGAGGTTAAGGGCATGGACTCTGGGGCCACAAAGGCTGTGCTGAATCCTGACTTGCCCCCTGTGTGATATCGGGCACTCTGTGACTCAGTTTCCATATTTGTAGTTGGGCTCAGCTAAGGGGAAGTAGGATAGGAAGCCAGAGGTGTGGAAGATAGAAGGACCAGGGCACTTCTCAGCTCCCTCCTTTGGACTTTGGACTTCAGTCCGACAGTGGCCGGGTCGCTCCCCGAAACCCCTCACCCGTGGCTCCAGCCCTCCCTGGAGTTGGACACCAGACTCCTTTCTTAGCTGCTTTAAGCCAGAAACTAGGGCTAGTTCCTGGGTCCCTCAATCACCTTCTGCCGGTGTCCTTAAGCCTGTCCCCCACCTCTATAAATAGCCGCTTAATTCAAATCCCAAGAACCAACTGAGTTGGACTCTCTTCTCCTGCCTGGACCCTGATGGACACAATTAGCACACCGAGCATTTTTTCCTGCACTTACTGATCCTTTGTAGCAGTGCCTTCCTCTTGTGGAAAGCTTTGAATTCTTTTCCAAAGTCTGTACAGGTCTTTTGTGGAGACAGCAGGCTACAAAAGACAGTGCTAAAAATATACAGCAACCCATGCTCTGCCACCCAGGGAGTTTCTGGGGGCCACTGAGGAAGACTTTGTGCAGAGGCGGCATCCTGCTGCGTCCTGAAGGTCACATCCATGTTTTGCAAGAGTTGAGAGCAAAACACAGAGCCATGAGATGGAAAGGACTAGCAGCAAGGAAGCCTGGGTCCTTGTCCAGGCTTTGCTCCTGACAGGCTGTGTGACTCGGGGCAAACCACGCCCCTCTCTGATCCTCACTTTCTTTGCCCGCCAATGCAGATGAAGGCTTTGGACCAGGACAGTATTTCTCAAATCACCAGGAATCTTGCTTATTTATTTGTAAATGTATTTTTATTGAGGTAGAATTGGCATATAAATTTAAGGGTATAATGGGTCAATCTGATACATTTACATTTTGCAGTATGATTACCACCATAGAGAGGTAGCACCTCTATCAGGTCACGTAGTTAACATTTTTGTGCGTGATGGGAACAGTTAAGATCCAGCCTCTTTGCAACTTAGAAGTTTATGATACAATATTGCTGTCTTTAATTCTACGTGGTGCACTGGATCTCCAAGACTTATCTACTGGTACAAGGTTCCGTAGATGTTAAATAACATCTTCCCCCCCCCTTCCCCCCAACCCCAGCCTCAGATAAAAACCATTCTACTTCCTGTTTTTATGAATTTGGCTTTGTTAGATTCCACATGTAAGTGACATCATAATAGTATTTGTCTTTCTCTGTCTGACATCTCACCCGGCATCATGCCTCTAGTTCCATCAAAGTTGTTGCAAATGGCAGAACTTTCTTCTCTCTGGTGGCTGAATAATATTCCATTGTGGGATGTGTGTATGTGTGTGTGTGTGCACATGCATGTGCATGTGTAACCTTTGGATATGGAGATAAGGGAACCCTTGTGCACTGTTGGTCAGAATGTACATTGGTGCAGCTGACTTTTTCTAATTGTGGAAAACAGTATGGAGGATCCTCAAAGAATTAAAAATAAAACTACCCTATGATCCAGCAATTCCATGTTTAGGTATATATTCAAAGGAGATGAAAATAAGATCTCAAAAAGAAAAAAAAAGATCTCAAAGAGATTCTCATGCCTATCGCAGCATTATTCACAGTAGCTAGAGATGGAAACAAGCTAATTATCCATCCACAGATGACTGATAAAAAAGTTGTGGTGTATATCTACACCAGAAATCTTGTTAAATGCAGTTCTGGGGGATCCCTGGGTGGCTCAGCGGTTTGGCGCCTGCCTTTGGCCCAGGGCGCAATCCTGGAGTCCCGGGATCGAGTCCCACATCGGGCTCCTGGCATGGAGCCTGCTTCTCCCTTCTCCTGTGTCTCTGCCTCTCTCTCTCTCTCTCTATCATAAATAAATAAATAAATCTTAAAAAAAAATAAATGCAATTCTGATTCATCAGGTTCCTTAAGGGCCTGAGACTCTAGGGCATTTCTTTTTGTTTGTTTTTATTTTTTTTTAAGTAATCTCTATGCACAAGGTGGGGCTCGAACTCACGACCCCCAAATCAAGAGTTGCATGCTCTATGGACCAAGGCACTCCTGAGACTCTGCATCTCTAACAAGCTCCCAGGTGGTACCAATCTTGGGCTGTGTTTTGAGAACAAGGGACTATAATGAACTCTGATTTCCCTCTAGGCTCAGTGATTCTATAACTGTTCATTCCTATTTTCATGCAGCTTTCTATGACGGGGCCCACACTCCTGATACATCAGCTCTAGCTGAAAGAGACCAATGTTATGAAGACCTGCCACTCTGGATCTCTGTGGGGTACTTCGGGATTGAGAATTTGATATTTATGGCAGCTTCCTCCCCCGGCCCCATCACCTGCAGATCTGTGCGTTCAGATTTACAGAAGAAAATAGTACTGTCAGCGATGATCCAGTGTGGTTTGAAAATTGTGTCACCTCCTGGTGCTCCTGGATTCACAGCCCTTCCCCCCAGGGGAGCTCTAGGAACCTGAGGCCCCTTCCCCATCCCTCGCTCCACCCTCTCTTTGCCTCTGCAATTGGCAGCATCTAAAATCCCAGCCATAGCCTCATTTTACTGTGTCTTGATAGCTTTGGGGACTCTAAGGAGCTTCTGTTAAAATGAAAATTTCTCAGCAAGGAAAGATTCTTTAATATTTGCCAGAGTTCATGTTATTGGATTCCTTTCCTGGAATTCCAGTGGGCCCTGTTTTTACAGATGGAAAGTGAGACCTAGAGAGGGGGAAGGGCTGGCCACATCAGGAGTGCATCACTGGAACCAGATTTCTGGTTCCCTTCTTGGGGTTAGGGCTGTCGAGGCAGGCAGGCCCAGATCACGCTTTGAAAATCATGACATAGTGGCTTTGAGTCACACAGATGTGGATTCAAATTCCAGATCATTAAAAAGAAGGTATTTATTAGGGGGCCTGGGTAGTTCAGTCGATTGAGTGTCCGATTCTTGATCTCAGCTCAGGTCTTAATCTCAGAGTCATGAATTTGGGGCCCCATGTTGGGGTCCACCCTCGGCATGGAGCCTGCTTAAGAAAAATTAACTCAGGGCAGCCCGGGTGGCTCAGCGGTTTAGCGCCGCCTTCAGCCCAGGGTGTGATCCTGGAGACCCGGGATCCAGTCCCATGTCAGGCTCCCTGTGTGGAGCCTGCTTCTCCCTCTGCCTGTGTCTCTGCCTCTCTCTCTCTCTCTCTCTCCTCCCTGTGTATTCTCATGAATAAATAAATTAAATCTTTAAAAAAAATAAAAGAAAAATTAACTCAGCCAGTTAAGCATCTGACTCTCAGTTTCTGCTCAGGTCAGGATCTCAGGGGTTGTGAGATCAAGCCCCATGTCTGGCTCTGCTCTCATTGGGGAGTCTGCTTGAGATTCTCTCCTTCTACACAACCCCCCTCACCCATTAGCATACACACACACTCTCTCAAATAAATAAATAAATAAATCTTTAAAAAAATTTTTTTAAGTATTTATTAAGCACCAACTGCCCAGCAGGCATTGGGAATCTAACTGTGACAAGCCAGATACAGTCCTTACAGTACAGTAGGAACTACTGGGTGTATTAATAGGTAGAGCTTACTTTGGTTTCTACCTGTCAGGTTCTGTACCCCCGGTTTCACATATGTTTCATTCTCTTAACAACTCAGTGAGATAGAGACTACTGTGGCCTCACTTTGCAGGTAAGAAAGCTGAAGGCCAGCTAATTGCCCAAGGTCACACAGCTAGTAAACAGCAAAGCTGGGATTCGAAACCACCATGTCTGGGACCATAGCTCATGCTCTTAACCACCATGGTGTGGACTTACTAGTTGTACCACTGATTTCTCCCAAAAACCTCGCACCAAAGACGAAGGTAAGGTTTTATCTCTACTTTTCAGGATAGAAAAGGTCAGAGAGGTTAAGTAACATTTGGAAAGCTGTGCAGCCCATGTGGGGCTGGGTTGACCTTTGAAACCAAGCTCTGAGCTCAGTGATCTTGGGTGGGCCACATAGCCTGTCTAAACCTCAGACTACACCTCACCCCCCCTGCCCCCACCACCACTGTCTACCTTTGGAAGTGGACATGAGGATTGAATGAGATAATAAATGTGAAGACATTGGCCCAGGGATGTGGCAAAATGGCGACTGTAGTGGTTGGACTCCCTGGGACCTGCCTCCTATTCCCTACCCCAGTAGGGGACACCTACTGCATATTTAACAAGTTGGCATGTGCAAAAGGAACCCCCAAAGGCAATGCCTAACCCAGAAGGGAAGCTGCTTGAATGGGGAGCTTTTAGGCAGTCTGGAGTGGCGATTTTTTTTAACAGCTTTATGGACATATTTTCCCCATACCATAACGTTCACCATGCAAGTGGATGGTTCAGCACTTTTTAATGTGTTCAAAGAGTTGTGCAACCATCACCACCAGCTAATTTTAGAACATTTTCAACACCCCCCCCCCAAAGAAAACCCATATACTTTAACCATCATTTGGAACAGGCGATGCTTAGCCTAGAGGGAGAAGTTGCTCAAATAGTGGTTTTGTTGGCAGCGTGGCTGATTATTTGGAGCATGGTAGGGAATACTCTGCAAATCATACCTTGAACAACTGCCTATTTCTTCCATTAGAGAGCCATCCACGGGGCACAGTGTGTTCCGTTCACTAGTCTTTAGGTCCAAGAAATAATTACATTTTTTTTTCTGTAGATAGTTTGGTAGGGGCTGCCTGAACGTGTAGAAAGTAGAGGGTCAGTGTGGGAGGGGCCGACTCACCCTAAAGAGGCCTATGGGAGAGGAAGTAAGGGTAGGGGAAGGCAGGGCTGTGTCCCGTATTTAGCAGTGATGCTTCCCACCCCAGCCAGATGGGTCTTTCAAAATTGCAAATTGGATTGTGTTGTTCTCCTTAAAACTCTCCAACAGCTTCCCTTATTTTTTGGAAGAAGATCCAGAGTCCTTAGTAGTCTGAAGGCCTCCCAGCTTCATCTCACGCTCTGCTTCCACTCGTGTTCTTCCTTCTAGCCTCACACACTGCTTTTCTGTTCATACCCTGCCTCTATGAGCTTTTGGCAAATAGAAAAAGTGCACCCTCTTGGTGGACAAATTAGAGAAAGGATTTTGTTCGTTCAGCCTGATGCCTTTCTACAGTACACGACCTATGCAACTGAACACTATAGTTCTGCCTTAAACATGCCGAGCCCCAAACAGACAAGATTTTTATATCTGGGAGGAGTGGAAAGAGCATGGCCTCGGAGGGCATCTCTAAGGGTGGGAATCCCAACTCTGCCACCAGCCCGCTGTGGGACCCAGGGACGGTGATCCAGTCTAAAAGGAGTGAATGATTCCCACCTCAGGGGTTGGAAGGAGCTGTGAGGATTAATGAAACCATCTGTGTGCTGGGCTTGATCAAAGCCCCCTGTCTTCCCCTGTGTGGCCCCAGAATCCCTACCTCCATTTAAAAGCGAATCAATAATGTTAGTGGAGCATATGCATTTTTCTTAAAAAACAAAAATTTTGGGGATGCCTGGGTGGTTCAGTGGTTGAGCGTCTGCCTTTGGCTCAGGTCATGATCCTGGGATTCTCAGATCAAGTCCTGCATCAGGCTCCCTGTGGGGATCTTGCTTCTCCCTCTGCCTATGTCTCTGCATTTCTCTGTCTCTTATGAATAAATAAATAAAGTATAAAACACACACACACACACACACACACACACAAATTCTTCAATGTCTTGTATCTGCTTCTCCTCACTACATTTTCATTAACCAATCTGGATGAAGTCTGAACAACAACAGACTCCTAATCTGTGCCCAACCCCTTCCAGCCTTGCCCCTCCAATGCTTTCAGGAGTCACAACAAAAGATTTTTAAAACCAAGTCTAATCATGTCATCCCACACCCCACTGCCTGCTGCAAACTCCTCCTCCTTCTGGTCTTGGACCAAACGTGAAAGAGTCTTCCGAGACTGCTCAGTCAATGCTAGGAGGACCTGGCTAATGGCCCCAGGTGACCACAGCTGGAGTGTCACGATGGAATATGGCCCAGAGGTCCCAAGGAAACTCACCAGGGGCCCAAGGACAGTCTGGGCTGGTGGTCTGGCTTCTATGTCAGCCTGGAGAGTCATGGGGAAGAGCTACTGCAACTGTGGGGGTGGCTAGCTAAAACCTCTACTGGCCTCTGTCCCCTGGCCCAGTGTTCTGCTTTGGGCTCAACAGCTGGGCGGGAGAGCTTGGGGAAAAAAGGAAGCACGTGGCCGAGCTTGGGGCAGGGAAACAGGCTGTGCAGGGTAGCCGTTCAACAGCGACACCGTGCGGTGGCGACCGGAGCAGCAGGGGCCGGAGCTTGAGGACCGCACGGGAAGACACCAGGCTGCGCGGGCCAGCTGCTCAACAGCGACACCGTGTGGCAGTGGCCAAAACAACAGCCCAGGGGATGGATCCACTCTATAGATCCTCTCTCCCTGACCTTAGGAAACGGGACCCGCTCCCTTTGGACTAAGTAAACCCCAGGTACTCTTGGGAAGTGTGGCGTCAGGGGTGACCTCAAAAAGGGACAGTGAGGGGCGCCTGGGTGGCACAGTCGGTTGAGCTACCGACTCTTAGTTTCAGCTTAGGAAGCTTCTTGCTCAGTGGGGAGTCTGCCTAGGTTTTTCTACCCCTCTCCCTCTGCTCCCCCCACCTCAAAATAAATAGGTCTAAAAAGAAAGGGACAATGAGACTTTCTGCTAAGAGGTGCATGTGGGGACTCAAGATATGAATTAGAAGAATGGAAAGAGGTGATTGTATCCAAGCTGTGAAGCGGTGCTGCAGGGAATGCTGGGTACTGCCAACGAATGAAAGAATGAACAAAACCCAAGAAACAATACCATCACTCAGAATTCCATAGCAAAAAGAAGTGGTTTTGTTTTTTTTTTTTTTGCCGGGGTGGGTGGGTGGCGAAGCACAAAAGAAATATTGAGGTAAAAGTGGAAAGCCACTCTTGGAGGAAATCTCTGTGCAGACTTCGGGCTTGAAGGAAACTCAGAATCCCTAAAGTACACACACCCCACACTTTGTCAAGGAACAAAGTTTCTGTATTTAGATCATTTCCAAATCTGAGTTCCCAGACATTTGCAAGGGTGTCTGGTTCAAGGGTTGGAGAAAGGCAGCCTGTGCCCCATGGGTGAGTCAGGAGCCAGAGCCACCAGCCCCGCACCTCCTGGCCGGGCCGACAGCCCCCCGGCACCGACGCTGAATTCGGGACTTCAGCCGCTGTAGTGAACATCTGCACCAAACAGCAGGAAGTCCTAGGGGAAGATGGGGAGATTAGAGTGCTGTCATTGCTGGGAAACACACCCTGGCCTTCGAGCAGGGGCTGGGGGGGGGGTTTGCAGGAAACTTCAGAGCAGCCTGCCTGCTGCCAGGAAGGGGAGCAGAGCACCCCGCGGGGTGAGTGGGGGCACCAAGGGGAGGAGGGCCCCGTGTCTGTGGCTGCCAGCACCACCCCCGCAGCTGTTCCCCTCCGTGAGCTGCAGTGCAGGCCTTCATTTGTCATCCTTGCCTCGTGGCAGCTCAAGGCAGCCTTGTTCCCAGAGAGGCTGCAAAACCACTTTTCTTTGCTCCTTCCTGCCCTTCACTCAGAGTTTTCAGAAATGAAGAAATTACACCGTGCCACAGGGTCATTTTGTTGTTGTTGTTGTTGAGGATGAACTTGGTACAATGTGGGGGACACAGTGGGGTGATGTGTGTGTGTGTGTGTGCACATGCACGCACCCACGTGCACGCTTTCTCGGCTCTTCCGCAGTCTCAGCCCCCTTTGCAACCTGGTCTGAAGAACTAGGGGTTGACTGACCGGATGGATATCCAGGGTGAGGGAGGGCAGGGAATCTGGGCAATGGGGCCGCTTGTCACAAGGGCCACACGGTTAGCAGGACAGCCACTGAGCCAGGTAAGGACTGCAATAGTGGGTGCCAGTTTCATTGCCCAGTTACCAGTTTTGTTGGGACACACTAGGCTTAAGGGGCCTCGGGGATAGAGAGAGCGTAGAAGGAAATGGACACATAGCTGGGTCACTGGGTGGCACAAAGGTGGCTGTTAGCCTGAGCTGATATAAGCCAGCAGGAAAAGCTGACAGTGGGGAAGAATCAAGGCCTGGGCAGAAACCCTGGAGAACTTGCAGGGAGGGGTAGAGGAGAGGGAAAAGGAGGGGAAGGAAAGGAGGGGTTGGGAGTATTGGGGAGTATTGAGCCAGTAACGAAGACTGCATTGACCCAGTGAGAGGTGGCTGGAAACCAGGAAAGGCAAGCTTCCAAGCTAGGAGAAGAAAGTGTTCCTAAATCGTCTCAGATGCTGTTGTGGGTCTGGCTGGAGGACAGGCAAGAAGAGGCGATCCATTCTGGGACAGAAGTCCCCACTTTGTGGCTCCCATTTTACCACCCCCACCCACTGCCAGAACATTGGCAACAATGCCTAGAACATTGCTGGCCACAAAGCGAGGTATACAACACATATTTGTCAAATATGTAAATGCATCCACTTATAAGAGGCTCTGCGGCCATCGGGGAGCTCCATTTTTACCGAACATGGTGTGGGGATGCTTCAAAGCAGGACATGGCTGTGAATTTGGACTCAATGCTTAGCTGTGCAGCTTTCCTGAGCTTTACTCTTTCTTCCGGGTTCATTAACAGCCCACCCACCTTGCAGGGTGCTGACAGGGTAGAGAGTGCTTGGTACACGGCTTGCACACATTTGGTGAAAAGAGACCTTTGGACCTACCTGGTGGGTCTGAAGCACCAGGTTGAAGAGCTGCACGTTTTCAGGCATGGGGAGCGGGAAGCCTTCCTGCAGCCGCTCTGCAATGGAGGGGAGGTCAGTCCTCAGGAGGGAAGGCAGAGGCCCGCCCCCGAGAGCCAGGTGGGCAGCCTCCCTGAACCAGCGTGCCTGGCTCTGGGTAGGGATTGGCAGGTACTTGCAAGCTTGAAAAGTTGGCTGCCCTGGAGACTCTCACTCTTCACCACACTCTGGGGACTTGGGAGCCTTGCCTTCCTGCCCCATCAGCCCCAAGAAGCCACATTCAGAACCCATGTAAGCCTCTTCCCCAAGACCACCCTCCTGAGGGTGCTGGTGTACACGGCCAGGGGCAGCTGCTGCAGGGGGGTGGACAGCCCGTGGCATGTGGTTGGGAGTATCTACTGGCGTGCACACGGAGCCCCTCAATGTTGAGGATGAAACCAGAGATGGGCAGTAGCCAGGGGCCAGCTCCCCCCATACCACCATATCCAGATGTGGAACTCCAGAGAATCTAAACTCAAACCTATTCTCTCAGGTCATTATGAAGCTACATTTGTCAAGGTAGGAAGAGAAGTCTATTATTATAGAATAATTTGTGGCCTAGATTTATAGTTCTTAATCATTCTGATCCTGGAGTCTGTGGGCCTCTATGTGTACTCTTGCCCTGGCTCCACAAACGTTAGGCTTTTCTGAGTGTGTTGAGTGTAAGCGGTTAGCTGAGGCTAGCCCTTCTTCCCTGGCACTTCTCTCTGAGGTGGTAAAAGACTGAGGGCTCTGGCTTCAGAGCCGGGACCAAATCTCAGCTCCATCTCTCGCCTTCTCTGTGACCTACAACAAGCCACCTGACTTCTTGGATCTCCCGTTTCCTCCCATGAAAATCCCCATCTCATGGGGCTGTCTTAAAGATTGGATGAAATAATAGATGGGTACATAATAGGAACTCAACCCGTGGTAGTCCCCTTTTCTCCATCCCTTTTCTGGTCAGATACCATTTGAGGTTCATTTGACGTGACCACCTTCCAGCCAGGTTATTAGGCAACTCTAGGAATTGACCTCACCTGCCTCCCCTAGGACTAAAAGTCACTTGCTCTCCCAAAGCTCCTTACCGTTAACCTTGGGAAGCACAGCAGTGGGCACAACATAGTTCATGATAGCTTGCAGCACTGCAACCTGGAAATCAGGAGGACAGGACCCACATCAGGGCACCCTTGGTGTCGTCGTTGGACATCTTCTGCCAAGCTCCCACCCCCACAGAACAACCTCAAAGCTAGGAAAACTGCTGAGTGAGGGATATAGGATGACAGGAAAATTCTACAGCCCTATCAGGTCACCCAAGTGATCTCTTTTGCTCTAAAGGTTCCAGATGTAAAGCATATTCTAGATGTAAGGTATCAGGCAGAGGAAAGGAAAGGAAGGTCGTCAAAACATTTGTGTAAGACGATGCATGGTCTCAGACACTGTAGGCCACAGGACAAACTGGTTCAACCTCTCTGAGGTTCTATTTGGCCATATTCAGCAAAAGCCTTAAAAATGTGTGTGCCTGGGGGCATCTGGGTGGCTCAGTTGGATAAGCATCTGACTTCAGCTTAGATCATGATCTCAGGGTCCTAGGATCAAGCCCCAAGTCGAGCCCTATGTCAGGCTCTGTGCTCAGCAAGGATCCTTCTTGTCTCCCTCCCTCTGCCCCTCCCCCTGCCCTCTCTCTCTTTCAAATAAAATACAAATAAATAAATAAATAAATAAATAAATAAATAAATATGCCTGGTGGGCCAGCAAATATTCCTGTAAGGCATTCATCCTAAGAAAATGATGAAGGGTGTAGGCAAAAATTAATATGCAAGGATGCTCACCAGAGCCATAAATTCAACCAAAACAGTAAATTAACAACTAACAATCGGGGAATTATCTGGGGGACATGGTGGCATGGTGGCACTTTGACTCTAGGAAATAGGATGTAACTCTTAAGAATAATACCGTAGGAATTTCATTATCCACACAGAGATATTCACGATATATTTTTGAGTGAGGAAAAGCAGGCAATGGAAACCACATAGTCCACTGTCCTATTGAATATGCATATCAAATGGTCAGGAAGGATATACTCCAAATGATTAACTAAGTAGTAAAAATAGGAATGGCTTTTATTCCCTTTGGTTTGCACATCTGTAGGCTCTGATTATTCTATAATGTAGATTTTTACTTTTGCAATAGTAAAAAAAATATTCAAAAATAATGTAGCACTTTAAAGATGATTGCTTGGTGACATTTACAACTTGTAAATATGTACTTTTTTTTCCTCTGGAACAACTGAGTTTCCTTCCCCAGGCTGTAAATCCCTGGGCTCATAAAATGTGGAGCCCTTCTTCCTACAAATCTGAGAACTTTAAATTTTTATTTTCTGCAGAAGTAGAATTTAGTTACTCACTGAATCAAGCCACTGTAAGAGCCCTGGCACAGTAAATCCATGAAAATACAATGAGGTTGTTTGGGTCCTTCTGTTTGTTGTAGTCTTACCAGATGGAAAGGGCTGGATTTCCATCCAATTTGGAGGGAATGTTGGGATAGTCCAACTTCAGGGCTGAGTGGCTTACAAGACACCCACTTGGCGGGGATCTTTGAGAGGCATTTCAGAGATCTAAGGAAATGTTTTCCAGGGGTTCAACAAGAGGCCCCCTGGGACATTTGGGCTATATGTAGCAAGACACTTCCACAGAATCAGCACACCGTGGCTTCTAATAAGTCACAAGGGCAATGCTTGTTCAAGGTGGCTGGTGAAGAGAATTGAGCTGCTATCGACTTGGCAATTCTGGGGCCCCAGGGTGACTTAGGAGAGAGGCAGGGGGTGAGTCTGCTTAATTACGGTCATTGATTCCAAGTAGTGGAATCGTTTGCTGGGCTGGTGAGATACTTGCCCTCCTCCCTCCCACCTGCCCTTCTCCACCTCTGCATGACTCTGCCATTCACCTGGCTATTCAAGCCAAAAATTCAAGAGTCATTCTTTATCACCCCCACTACATATATCAAAGCTCTCACCAAGTTCCATCTAATTTCACTTCCAAAGTATGTGTCCAATCCACCATCTTTCTCCTTCTTCATAGACAAATGCACCCACTTCCCCACTGATGCACATGGTCTGACTCTTGTCCTCCAAAATCCATTCCTTTTACCCCAGCCAGGGGCAACTTTTATAAAGGCATAAATCAGATCAAGTCACTCCCTGTGTGGAACAGTTCCTCACTGCCTTTGACCACAATCTATGCTAGGCCAGAGCGCCCAGAACCTACCCCACCTGCCTCTCCAGCCACATCTGCTTTTACACCTCCACCCCCAGCTTGCTCTGCTCCAGCCACAGTGGCTTCCTTCCATTCCCCAAACATGTTGAACTTGTTCTTACCACACGGCCTTGCTTCTCCTGTTCCCTCTGTCTGCAACAGATCTTCACCTTGTTGGCTCTTTTGTCCCAAATATCACCTCCTCAGAGAGGCTTTCCCTGATCGCATGGTCTAAACTTCAACCCTCCCCATCACTTGCTACCCCACTCTCACTTTGTCTTTCATGCAGATGGAAAAGATTATGGCTCATCTGAGGAAAGGTTTGAGGTTCAGGGAGGGGAAGTGACTTGCTCAAGGGCCACAGTTAGTAAACATGGACCAGTGATTCTAGCCTAGGTCTGTGGGCCCATAAAGCTCCTCTGGTCATTACTTCACATGCAAATTACATGGAAATGAACAGGTGGCTCTGGAAATGATGCCAGGAGTCAGAGTGGCCCTCAGGTCAGTTATCTCAAGATCAGGGGAAAGGAAGGAGCCACCAAGGGCCTCAGACTCACCGAGAAGGAGCCGATGTCCGAGTGCTTCAGTTCTAGGAGCAGCCTGTGAGAAGGGGAGGAGGAAGCTGAGACCACCATTTGCCTGACCTGTGTTAGAGTCCAGTTGCTGAGGAGAAGGCACCCTCTGTGGTGGATGCCACCCGGTTTTCCCCCCTAGTATCCATTCCTTTCCCCCTAATTGCTCCTTTGGGGCATTTAGTGCTGAGCTCTGGGGCAGGCTGGCCAAAGGGCAGAGTCTATGTCCCTTACCACAGTGATTATTGGGAAGATGGACCTGTGGCCCATGCTGGTCCAGTGAGACTTGGCCCCAGGACTTCTCCTGAAAATATTGGGAATGAAGTGTTCTTTTCTCCAGGAATATTAGGGAGGTACTGGTGACCATTTTTGTCACCACTTGGTGACAGCCTGCTGAGAAATGAAGTCAGCATAGGGGATAGTAGAACCAAGAAATGGAGAGAGTCAGAATCCTAAAGACTTCATTTGAGCATCTGGATCCACCTTTGTCTGAAACCCTTAGACTTTTCAATTACCAGAGCCAATAAACTATCCCCTCTTTACAGTCTTTGTGGCATTTTAACAGTGCTCTAAGAGAAAGGAGGACATAAATGGCTACTTATTGAACCCTATCATTCACTATGTTGTGTGCTTTACCCCATGGAAATCCTATAACACCCTCAGAGGCAAGGGCCATCACTCACATTTCACAGGCAAGGAAACTGACAGAGATGTCAGACAACTTGCCCAAGGTCACACAGCTAACAATTAGCAAAGTAGAATTTCAAGAGATCTCTCTGAGGCCTGAGCTCTTGTCTCCAATACCCTACAAGGCTTGAAAACTCACCCTTGTTCACTAAGAGGCGGGGAGCCCCAGGACTCCTGGCCCGTGGACTCTCACACCGCACCCCTGCATATGTGAGCATCTGCTCAGCCCTCACCCAGCTGTATCCTCTCCGGCTCCTCTACTTGAGAGGCTCATGGGTGTTCAAGGAAAATTAAATCCACATGTATCTGAAGCAGTAACACTTGTCAGAATGATGCCAGGAGAAATAAGCAGCGTGTAAACCTCAGGAGCCAGTCTCAAGGTTAAGAAGGACAGCTCCGTGCTGCAGAGAAGGCGGAAATGGGCAGGAATGTAGGTCAAGACTCAATTTAAACAGCGGGAGCGTGATTAAGAGGCAGACAGCAGGTCCAACCGTCGGGGTCATCGCGTCTGCTCTGCGAGGGTCTCCCTATCTCTTCCTCTGTGTGCGTCCTTTCCACTCTCTCCCCCTTCTGGGTCTGTCTCTCCATCTATCTGTCTCTTTTGCTCCCACTCTTTTTCTGTCTCTCTTGCTCTGTGTCTCTCCCTTTGTGTGCATCTCTCTCTGAGAGTCTCTCCCTGTGTCTCTGTCTCTGACTTGCCCTGTCTCTCCCCCATAGCTCTCTTTCTTTTATGTCCCTCTCTCGCTCTTGCTCATGGAGCACTCAGATTCCTTGTGTTCTCAACACTTCAGTGCATGCTGAGTGTTTGCCAAGGTGAGCTGCGCTTCAAACACCGGTAGCCTCCACACCAGAGCCCGCACGCCTGACCACCTGCCGGGGTTCTCCCAGCCTGAGGCGGCTGACAAAGGCCCAGGGATGGACTATAAAGAAATCGATGTGGGTTTTCTGAGGGCTAAGGCAGGCCAGGGACACGGGTGACTGGGCGCTGCTGGGGTTCGGTGTGGAGTAGAATCACCGGCTGGCACCGCACAGCCATGAGTCTGCCCAGGACTGAGGGGCATCCCGGGATTCAGGACCTTCAGTGCTAACACGGTGGGGCCACAGCTAAACCAAGATGACTGGTCACCTATGGTGTAGGACCCTGGGGGGGGGGGGCACTGCATCTCTGAGCATCAGATTTACTGTCTGCAACACAGGGCTCTGGTGCCCACCGTGCACCATTTGAGGCTTAAATGTGATGGATGAACAGGAAAGCAATGACACAGGGCTGGTGTGTTGTAGGGCTGTTGCTGGTCCACAGGCACCAAAAGTGGATGGGCAGCCACCTCCTGTCATGCTCACGGGATCACTTACTTGTCCAAACTGAGCCGTCCAACAAGCCTGTCAGGCCTGGCGCTGACCTCCATGGAAAGGTTCGTGCTCTGCAAAACAGCAATCCAGAGAGTGAAATCACCCGAGCCAGGGGCCGAGGCCTTGGCGAGGTCTCCAAGACGGGGAGGGTCAGCTTCATAAAGGCTTGGCAGAGGGGCCCACATGGAACCCAAGGAGGAGGGGCTCTTCCTTTTGCTTTCTGCTAACTGGTGAGTCTTGGGCTGGCAACCAATTACCATTTTCTCCCACTGCCCTAGGGACCATTTCAGATTCCCAGGCCACTCTCATGAGCCAAGCCAGGTGAGACAGATCTCAGGGCTGGAGTCCAGGCCAGCCCTATTCTCAAGCCATTCATTCATTCATTCATTCATTCAATATTTACTGAGCCAGAAAACTGAGCTCCCCACCTCAGCTTTGCTGCCCACTGTCTGCGTGATCTGGGGCAAACCCCTCAGAACCCATTTAATTGGCAAAGTGGGGAAAAGGGGTCTTGACTTGAGAGAGGGCAGACCTGCCTGAGGCCTGTGAGCACCCCCTGGTGGGGAGAGAGTCTGGCCTTCCCCTCCGCACCACAGAGGGTGCCGCCAAATATTCACCAAGTGACAGAGTAGGCAGATAAACGAATGTGCAAATCAACAGTGGACCAAAAACTTGAATAAAAGAAGGATTACACACACAAACGAAGGAATACACAGAGATATGCATGAATGAATAAATGACGAATGAGTGAACAAATATCCAAATGAATGATTAATTGAACAAAAGCATAAGTAAATGAATAGATGAATAATGGAATAAATTAATACATGTCTGAACCAGAGCGGGTCTAGCCTATTTCAAGTGAGCAACCTAATGAATAACTGAATCAGTGAACAAATTCATAACTGCCTAATTCAATGACCAAAGGTAGGAGCGAACGGATCTGAGACAGGACACATATTTCAAGCCAGTCATGGAGGGAAGAACTGAGTCTGCGAACCCCTGCAGGAACCAGAAGCAGTGAGTACGGGCACTGGTCTCAGGCCCCAGAGCATCTGAATCTGGGCAGGATTTGCTGAACTCCGAGAGCAGTGCCCTCATCTGCCCACAGCTGGGAAGAGCTTACCAGGCCAAGCACGAAGAGGGGAGCCAAGGAGGAGTTCGGGAGGACGGCAAAGGCCTGGGTCTCCAAGGTCGGGGTGAAGATGAAGCCGGCGGGGCGCATGGTGAGGTGCGGCGGGGAGGAGGCCCAGACTTTGAATTGAACCGTCATGTTGGGGAACATCTGGGCCACCTGCAGCCCCCAGGGGGGACAGCCAATAAAGTGACAGTTTTATTAAAGTGTCTCCAAAAGAAATAAAAAATAAAAAAATAATAATAAAGTGTTTCTAAAGCCTGTCTTGTCTTGACCCTGCATGAACATCTCCGATGTATTCCTATTGCTTCTTGAATAAATCGTAGAGACAGCGCGCACTGGCAGTGGGTGCCTGAGACCTCACTCTCCCAGGCCTCTACCCCTTACTTTCCAGCTCCAGCCACATGGGACTCCTTTCTGTTCCTCAGACACACAACCCACTCTGTTCCTGTCCTAAACCCTCTGCACTCTGTGTTCTTTTCTCTGAATGCCTCTCCCCTCATTCTTTCCCAGCTTGGCTCTTTCCCTTTATTCAGGGGTCAGCTCAAATGTCACCTCTTCACAGAGCAGTGGTGGCTTCCCGGGGGAACTGAGGAGGGCTTTGGTGATATCCCCAAGCCTCTAGTCCTCCCCCAGGTAAACTCATGGTCTCAGAAAAAACATTGTGATTGTTATGCCATAAAGCTTCAAGAGGATTTCACCGATGCCCCTACCAGTCATGCCCCCCCCTACACACACACACCACTACCCCCACTATGGAAACTTCTGGAAGTGCCACCACTGGAAAGGCTATTATGGATTGAATGTTTGTATCCCCTCAAACTCATGTATTGAAGCCCTCGCCCCCAGTATGGCAACAGCGGGAGATGAGGCCCTGAGAAGTCACGAAGATCAAGTCATAGATGTGGGGCCCCTGATCCAAAAGGATCAGTGTCCTCATAAGGAGAGATGCCAGAGCATGCTTGCTCTCTATGTGCTCAGAGGAACTGCCATGTGAGGACACAGCAAGAAAGTGTCCATTTACCAACCAGAAAGAGGGCCTCACCCAAACCCAAATCTTTGGGTAGCTTTAGCTTAGACTTCTCGGCCTCCAGAACCATGAGAAATACATTTCTGTTGTGGGAGCCACCTGGTCTGTGGCACTCTGTGATGGCAGCCCGAGCAGACTGAGACAGAGATTCTCGTTTGAAGTGACCTCATCAATCTGTTGGCTTCATTTAGAAATGGTGGTGTGTACTTTTTAATTGTTTCGGGTGCCTGAAGAATAATTTTCTCTCTTCACTGGTTGGGGGCTGGAGTTGGGCAGGGATACTATCTGCTGTGTTAGATGCCAGGAGCAGAGCCCTGGCTGCATGGTGAGCATTCAGTAAATATTTGTATGGTGGGTAAGCCCCCAGCGTCTACCCTCATGCCTAGTCACCGGGGCTCTTGGAGCCTTTCTCAGCATTGAGGAGGGGCTGCCCAAGGCTGTTTCTACTCTCAGGCTGGATTGCCTCTGGGTCTGGCGAAGGGGGCTCTCTTCAGGCCACTCAGTGCAGCTCAACCCTCACTAGCACCCCTAAATTGCCTCATGAGAAGACAAAAAGGGGAGCAGCCTCTTTCTTACCTGGGGTATGAGGGTCCCCAAAAAATCAGTTGTCAGTCGGAATTTGGATTTCTTTGGTATCTGTAGCAAGGGAAGAAGAGGAAAGGATCTTGGGGGATTATGTTGTAGATTGGGGGGTGCAAATTCTATATGAGGGGTTAGAGACTGAATACACAGACAATGGCCAGCCCCTATGTGACAGTAATGCCTATCACTAACTGCAGCAATCAGTCCAGAATAGTCAGGATATGACCAGCGACTGCCAACTTCCCTATTTTTTGCCCTGAAAAACTCAAATATGCTCTTCAAACATAGGATGCCCAGCCTCTATCAGCTCACTTCCAGCTTCCCTGTGCCCCAAACCTCCACAGGAGTATAGTTGTAAAGGTATAAAGCCATCAAGCTCCCCGTCCTCTGCATGCATCTGTCTCTGCCAAACACAAGTGTGGGTGGCTGACTCTTCCACCCTGAAGAGTTCTCACTCTGGTCTTTGTTTATTTCCAAAGGACATGTGGGGGCTCAGCATCCCTTTGGTGCCCCTACAGAGAGAAGGAACCTGGCACCTCTTCCAGGAGCAGCGTAGGAGGAACCCTACGTGGCTGGCAACCAGGCTTCACCTGGATTCTGGAGACGATGGTCATGTCTTCATTTTATAGATGGGTAAACTGAGGCCCAGAACAGGACTCAGCCTATCGATAGACACATTGAGGATGATGATCATGGTGGTGTGATGCTAAGACTGGGTTAGGGCGAGTACTCAGGCCACATTGGCTGTATAACTTTTATCCCTCATCAAGCACTTCCTACGTGCTAAGCATGTGCTGAATGCTTCTCGTGCATTCACACCTCACTCCACTCTGTCACACCCTTGGGAGAGAGATACTGGTGTGGGTGTTTTACAGGTGAGGAAACAGGTTCTGAGAGGTTGAATGACTGGCCAAAGGTCACCCAGCTAGAAAAGAGGGGGCTGATATTCCAACTCAGGTCTGGCCACCCTAGAAGCTGGAATATGATCCCTCCCACTCCCATGTGAGCACAGGTTCAAGTCCCGACTGTCTGCTGTTCTCTGAGGCCCCTGCTTTTCCTGCATCCACCCCCGGCCCGGCCTTACCATGTCATCCGTGATGGTCATGTTTAAGGCCCCTGCCTCTTGGTACACAAGCCCTGCTGTGTTGAAGAAGTAGTCGGAGATGCCCAGGTACACCATGTGGTCGTGATCGGGGGGCAAGGCCATTGCTGGTGGGGTGAAGGGAGGGGATCTGGGGTGAGCCAGACTGAAGAACTCTCCCTGGGGGCAGAGGAGACAGGGTGAGCCTGGGCTTCCCTTCAGGAATTATAATTCAATGTCTTCATTCCAGGAGAAAATGGCTGGAGGATACCAATCATGCAGTCAAGACAGAGGAGGAAGCCGGGAACAGAAACGTATAATAGTGTCATATGCCTCCTGGGTGCTAGTTTCCGGGGGGCTTTTCTTACCAACCCTGCGAGGTAGGTGTGATGATGCTCATTTTGTGGAGGAGGGCACTGAGGCACAGGGAGGTGAAGTGACTTGGCCAAGGCCACTTGGGCAACATGCCCAACTTGCTTGGCACCCTCCCGGCCACTCCGTTGGCTCAGCTTCAACCTTGCCAGTGAGCACAGAAACTCTACCAAAGGAACAATAAGGCTCTGCTTGTTTGTTTTCATCTGTCAAGTTAGTAAAATTTTAAAGAGAGAGGTAAACTGTTTTAAGTGTGTGTACTTCAAAGCCACGTGATCTAGTGTTGGGTGAGACTATTCATATGCTGCTGGGGAATATATGTTTATAAGTTTCTGAAGAGCAATTTGGCACCACGCTGCAAAAGCAGATAATTTATTTAGCTTAAAAAACAATGTGGAGTTATAAAAGAGCAAATCGTAGATGGATACATATGGTCGAATACCACTTATGTAAAATTTAAAGGCATATAAAACATACTATGCAAGAATTATTGACGTGCGTAGATATGTAGCAAAAAGTATAGAAAGTATAAAAACGCGGTTAAGAAGGATACACACCAGCATCATATTGGTGTGATTCCCTGGAGGGTAGAGGGGACCCGAGGAGACCTCAGATTTATTTTTAGAGTGTTCATTTAAAAAAAAAAAAAAACAGGGGCAAACTTGGCAAAATGGTAACATTTCTTAAATCTGGATGATGGGTTCTGTGTATCTGTGAATCATTTCATCACTAAAAATTAACTGCCACAGCACCCGTCTTACAGAATACCGACAAAATGCGACTCTTAAAAATAACAAGTGGACCCATATGCCAATCAGGAACCAACTCTAATGCATGTCATTAGGTGAGAAAAGCAAGTGAAAGACTGATGTGTATCCATTCATGCATATGGATTACCAGCAAAACCAAATGGGCTTGCCCGTGCACGCATGTGTGCACCTGAATGCTTAGAGCCAGGGAGCCAAGGGCGCCTGGGGGGCTCAGCCGGTTAAGCATGTGCCTTCTGCTCAGGTCATGATCCCAGGGTCCTGGCTCCCTGCTCATCAGGGAGTCTGCTTCTCTCTCTCCCTCTGCCCCTGCTCTTCCTCTCTCTCTTCCTCACTCTCAAATAAATAAATAAAATATTAAAAAAAAAAAAACTAGGGAGCCAGGAGGTTAACACTCCCCATGGCTCACAGCTGTTACCTCTGGGCAGGAGCCTGGGGGTGAGGGGGAGGGACAGTAAAGAGGACATTCTCATTCACTAAAAAATATTATGTATCATTTTAATCCTTTTTTTCCACTGTTTCACTTAGTTTTTAAAAATTATACTATTTGGTCCAGTAATGCCACTTCTGGGAAGTAGTCAAGGATGGACAGAGATCCAGATACAAGGATGCTCGTGGCAGCTCTTGTTACATGTGTGGGAAAAAATGGACACAGAGCCCAAATATCCCGGAAGACGGTACTTGGGAATCTTATCACAAGCTATTCACCGAAAAACCCAGCAGCCAGTAAAAGGTCTGCGGGAAAGATGTTCACACTACACTGTTGTATTTTGAAAAGTTGTGAAACAGTATGTATAACATGACTCATGTAAATACATGTATGTGTGTATTTATTCCTATTTCTATATATGCGAGTTTTTTTTATGTGTATTTGTTTCTGCCTCCTTTATGCGTGTGTGTATGTGTGTGTGATTTCCTGTGTCTTGGTAGAGACAGGCCATGATCTTGGGATGCCTGGGTGGCTCAGTGGTTGGGTGTCTGCCTTCGGCTCAGGGGGTGATCCTGGGGTTCTGGGATCAAGTCCCAAATCGGGCTCACCACAGGCAGCCTGCTTCTCCCTCTAAGTATGTCTCTGCCCCCTGTCAGTGTCTCTCATGAATAAATAAATAAAATCTTTTTTAAAAATAGTGTATATCTCAGAGTTGTAATATTTGGGTAATCTCTATCACCCTTCCTTCCTTCCTTCCTTCCTTCCTTCCTTCCTTCCTTCCTTCCTTCCTTCTTCCATTCTTTCCTTTCTATTTATTTATTTCTCTGCTCCTCTGTAGTTTCTAAATCTTGACCTTGGTTTGTTGAGGACGTGCAAGGCCAGTGTGTCTGGCTGGAGGGTGGTGAGTGTCAGGAAAGTGGCATGAAATGAAGCTCCATCCATCCATCCACCCATCTGTCCGTCCAATCAAAATATTTGCTAAGCAGCTAATAGATACCAAACTTAGCTCCATGTGCTGCCCCTGCACTCAGGAACAAAGCAGCAATAGCCCCTCCTCCTTCATCACCCTGAGGGACACTGTGACCGTGTGTGCATGTGTGTGTGAGTGTGTGCAAGTTGGGGGTGGGTATCAGTAATAAGTAACACTAAGGAAAATAAAGCAGGATATGGAGGGAAAGGAGGAAACTATTTCAGTAAGTGTGGTCTGGGAAGGACTCTCTAGGGAGAGGGATATTTGAGCAAAGACTGGAAAAAGGAAGGGAGAGCTTAGGTGAATATCTGGGCAAGAGCTTCTGGGCAGAAGGAGCAAGGCAAAGGCCCTGGGGGAGTGAGCAGGCATAGGGTGGTTCCGGAGCAGCCGGGAGGCCAGTGTGAAAGGAGCAGGGAGTGGACACCTGGGTGGCTCAGTGGTTGAGCAGCTGCCCTCTGCTCAGGTCATGATCCTGGGGTCCTGGGATCGAGTCCTGCACTAGGCTCCCTGCAGGGAGCCTGCTTCTCCCTCTGCCTATGTCTCTGCCTTTCTCTGTGTCTCTCATGAATAAATAAATAAAATATTAAAAAAAAAAGAAAGAAAGGAGCAAGGAGAAGGTGCAGAGGTAAGGATGATGAGGAGCCCTAGGAGAATCCAAGGCAGAGGCCGGAAGGTATATATGTCCCTCTGTGTAAGTCTCACCTTCAGATGCCCATCCAGGTTATCTGCTGTAGCTGTCGGAGGGGCCACCAGGGAGTAACTGATCCCAGCAATACGATCTATTTTGTATGTCACTAGAGAGGAGAACAGGGACCATGAGCCGGCTCCGCACAGCAGCATCTCTGGAGTCTGAGACGCAGTTGGCATCCGCCAAAGTTGAATCGGGGACGGCGGTGCCGGTTCCATTCCCACCTCCTCCAGGGAGCCCTCCCAGGGAGGGAGGGAAATGAACCCACACTCTGCGTAAACGGACATCATCTCCTTCCCTTCTTCCCACAGCCCCAGATGTCAAGGAGCAGAGGGTTGAATTGAACTCTACATGACCTCGGACAAGTCCTTTCATTTCTCGAAGCCACTTTTTGTCATTTGTAGAACAAGATAATACTAGTGACCACACAAGTGCCCTGCACGTGGTAGGGGCTCAAAAGCTGAAGGGACCATTACTGGCAGGGATAATACCCCAGGCTGAGCCCAGGCTGGCTCAGGGCCGAATGCTTTCTGTGTTTCTCAACTGACATGAATGAGAATTAAATAAATACTGGTCCCCTCCTTACAGCTTTCCTTCCCGCGTTAGAGGGAAAGAAATGAGGCTCAGAAATGTAACTTGCCCAAGATGGCACAGCAGGTGAGTGATGCAGCTGGACTCCAACAAAAATCATTTTCCTGCCTGCTGGACACCTGCAATTGCACAAAACATGCCCAGGATGTGCCCGTCCCTGGGGAGTGGGGGGGGGGGGCAGTGCCTGGGGACAGAACACGTCTTACAGGAGCTCACACCATGTGCTATGGGGCCTACTCGACAGGGCGGGCGCCCGGGTAGCAGCTTGGGGCACAGGCTCTGGAGTAAGAAAACCTGACTTTGGATCCTGCTTCTGTTTCTTTCTGGCTTTGTGACCTTGGGCAAGTCAGGGATCCTTTCTGAGCCTCAGTTTCCCTGCTGGTAAAATCCGGATCATACACCAACCTCCGTGTGGTGTTGGGAGGCCAGGAGGAGACAGTTGTGCTGGGTGCGTGGCACATGGCAAGAGCTGGCCAGAGGCCTCCTCTCCTGACCATCTGCAACTTGTCACAGTTTACCACATACTTAGGGATAGAGAGAATTATCCCCATTTTAAAACTACAAAAACTGGGCAGCCTGGGTGGCTCAGCAGTTTAGCGCTGCCTTCAGCCCAGGGCATGATCCTGGAGACCCGGGATCTGGTCCCACGTCGGGCTCCCTGCATGGAGCCTGCTTCTCCCTCTGCCTGTGTCTCTGCTTCTCTCTCTCTTTCTGTCTCTCATGAATAAATAAATAAAATCTTTTAAAAATAAATAAAACTACGAAAACTGAGGCCCAGAGAAGCAAAATGATCAGCCTCAGATCCCAGGCCAGCTGTGTGTGTCTGGCCTCAGAGCTGGAAGTAATTTGGTTGTTTGGTCCCTGATGGGTAGGGGAATGAATGGGTGTGGGCTGCTCTTGCACCTGCCACAAGGGCCTGGCCCAAGAGGGATCCAATGCCAGGGGCCATTTGAAAATAATCTGTTCTACTCATCCCCACACCCGGCACCAGCCTGTCTGGGAAGCTCGCTGGCTCAGCATGCGGTCGTCCCTGTTTCCCTTCCCACCCCCAGCCCACACATACTTGTATCCCAGCCTCCTTGATCTCACCCAGTGCTCACCTGGCAATGTCTTTAAATAAGACTGCAGCCTGGAGGACACGGAACTGGTCACCACCTGGCAGATCTGGAGAGGACGAAGAAAGTGACCAGTGAGGGCTGCCCATAGTGGAAACTGTCCTTTGGGAATAAGGAATCTGATACATTTTCCTTCCCTTGAATGTTTTTTTGGAGGAAGGAGGGAAGGAAGGAAAGAATGAGGGAGGGAGGGAGGAAAGAAACGTAGGAGGGAGAAAATTGGTTTCTCGGACTGTGTTTCCATCACACAAGAGGTGTGACTCTGCATGCCCCGAGAATATCATCCTCCCAGGAGCCTGTGCCTCTGCCACATGGCCCAAGGGTAGGATGGCCCCACATCTGGTAGCTGGGGCCCCGGCCCAGCACCTGCCCCTACTGCCCTCCAAGGCCACTCACCCATGAGGACCACCAGATGGCTCCAAACCACAGGAAATCACATCACAGCCCCCGGGAGCCGGCTTTCTGCTGCTGCCCCTCTGTGTTCCATCCTACCTGCCCCCCCACCCCTCCAAACACAAGATGCATCATGCATCGAGGAGGGATGGGGTGGGGGGTGGCCTCTTCCCTCCCTCAGATATCTACTCTTCACTCAGTATTCCTGGGGAGCCAACTGCCCAACTCATTCCTCGTCCACCCTTCTTACTATCATAGACACTGTGTGACTCCTTTATTCATCCCTCCATCCATCCATCTACTCAAGCCAGTACTGTTTTCTAAAGAATATCTTATTATGATTAGGAGCTTCCCCTCTGAGGTGGGGGTGGCCTGGGTTTGAACTCCAGTACTATCACTTCTCCCTCTGTGCCTCAGTTTACTCATTTGTAAAATGGGGGAAATCATGACACCCACCCAACCACCCCTCATCGTAAGGATTTTGTGCGCATTAAATGCTGGGATCCTTGTAGAGTTCTAGGCGTCATGCCAAGCCCACTCCGTGGATGTAGCACCCTCTTGCTCCTTCTCCCCATCACCATCGCTGACAGCAGCACAGTATTACTTTGTAGCTTGGCCACTCTTACAGTGTTACCAAGAAACACTTTTGTTTTAATAGTTCCAGTGTTAAATGCTAACATTCCCCTCTGACTATCGCCTAATTACAAAGACTGTTGAACCACGGGTTAGCCGGGCGGTGGGGTGAGCACACCACCTGCCTTACCTCCGTGATACTTCCAGCAGCTTGGTGTCAGAGGTATTTACGGCCCCATTTTGCAGATGGTGAAACTGAGGTTCTGATATTTGCTCAAAATGACAAAGCTAGTTAGGGCCCTGGAGTCAGAATTAAGACCCAGAGACTCTGACTCTAAAACCCATTCTAGGGCAGCCTGGGTGGCTCAGCAGTTTAGTGCCTGCCTTCAGCCCAGGGCCTGATCCTGGAGATCCGGGATCGAGTCCTGCGTCAGGCTCCCTGCATGGAGCCTGCTTCTCCTTCTGCCTGTGTCTCTGCCTCTCTCTCCCTGTCTGTGTGTCATGAATAAGTAAATAAAATCTTTAAAAAAAATAAAATAAAATCTTTAAAAAATAAAAAATAAATAAATAAAATAAAACCCATTCTATAATCTGCTGTATTTAGACACATGTTAACAACCATGTGCTATTTTTTTTTAATTTTGTTTTGTTTTAAAACTTTGACAGAATGCCTTCAGACCGATGATCTGATTTGACTGATATCTCCCTACCCTCATTGTCAGTGCCTAGGACCAGGAACCCAGCGACTCTCATCTAGAAGACCATAGAGCTTCCTCAGTCTTCCTGACATGCCCTGCTTCTTTTGGCGCCTCTTGTCATTCTTAGGGCAGCCACAGAAGTGTCTCTAAAGCACAGATCTGGCAAGGTCACCCCCTTGCCTAAAATCTTCAAGGGCTCCCCACTGCCCTTGACTCACTTGGCCTGTGAGGCAGGCTCAGGGCATTCCTGGAGCTAACAGTGTATTCATGGAAAATCAGCCCAATGAATGGCCCTTTTTGCAGCTGAAGAAGCTGGCCTGGTGGATTTAGGATGAGGGCATGGTTGGGGAACACTGGCTGCTACCAGTTCCAGCCCTAGGGAATAGTTTGTTGGCACTCTAGCCTAGCAGCTTCCTCAATCATGTGTGTTATTCAAGGTAGGGAGCACCCAGCAGGGGGCTTGGAGTGCTGTGGGGATGGGGGAGGAGACCAGAGGGCTCTGAGCAGAGGTTTCAGAGGCAGGTGAGGCAGGAGAAGGCAGTTTGCCTGCAGGGAGGAATGAGGGAGGAAGAGCAGAGGTGGTCCAGCGGGGTGTGGGGAGAGTACACTGTGGCTGTGTGCCGGGACCCTTTCCTAGGCTCTTGCTGGACTCCTCATGACCAGTTTTTAAGCCAGACCTGTGGTTTCAAAGAACTGTGAGCTGTGAGCTCTCTGGGCTGAGAGCAGAAGGATCCAGCAACACACATACTGAGACATCCCTCCACTCCCCTCCCCCTACCCCTTCCCATTCCCAGGACTCTGAGCATGTCCTACCTTGTTGTTCATGGTCTTTCGGATGGAAGACTCTATTTTTTTGTGGAAGAGTTGGATCAGCCACCTGGAGATTGACATGTGGGGACAAGCATGAGGCTTCCCAGGTGTCCCTGGGTTACATTCGGGAGGGTACCTCATGTGAGAAGCCTTCCTCCCTCTTCCAAATAGCCTAGGCACCCTTGTTCCTGGGCTTCAACTGTACATGCTCCCATTAGGTACTTGGCCCTCTGGGTGCAGTGACTCATTTATGAGTTTATTTCTTCAATTGATGCATGGCTGGACCCCTACTCTGTCTCAGCGTCTTTCCTCACTACTGCTCTCCCTCTTGCACTCCAGCCACACTGTTCTGCTGTATCCTCTTGTGTTCTTTGCTCCCTCCCACCACAGGGCCTTTGCACATGCCGTTCTTGGTGTTTAAAACACCCCATCTCCAACACCCACCTAAATAACTTCTACTTATTCTTTTCATTTTAATTCAAATGTCATTTCATCAAGGACGAACCAGCCGGCCCCCAGACTAGGTCAGATCCTCCCTTCCCATGTGCTTGTAGTACGTTGTACCTCCTTTTCTTAGTTCTTACATCCTTTTGCAATTCATCATGAGCCATTCACTAGTGCAATGATTTGATTAATATTTATCTTGAAGCAGGAAACTTCAAGAGAATAAGGATTCTGTGGCTAAGAGTCTGTGGCCAGATAGTTCTGGACTGAATCTCTTTTTAACACTCAGTAGGTATAAAACCTCAGGATATTTCCTATTCCCTCTCTGCCTTAGTTTTAACTTCTGCAAATGGACGTAAGAATAGACTAACTTCATTGTGTGGATTGGTTGAGACAATTTGCAAGTTTAAGAGAATGCTTGGCACACAGTGATGTGAGCCACTGATGTTACCTATTGCTAAATTGTAATTGGCCGCTATTATTTCCCGAGCACAAGCCCAGTGCACAGCAGATTCTAAGTTGGCATTTGCTGAGTGGATAAATAAATGCCTACAGATTGGTGGTGAGGACTGTATAGTTTAGTGCATATAAAGTGGTTAGCCCAGAGCCTAGGGCATCACAAATGCTCAGTCAAGTCTGTTGAACGAATGTTGGATGAACAAGTGACTCCTTGAGGCAGGGATGGTGTCTGCTTTGTCCGTGGACCCTGTCCTTCCCCTACACCTGAGGCCTCTGAACAAGACCCGGCAAGGAGGTGGCACTTGGCACGCCTTCTGAATACAAACATGATTAAGACAGTGCTTCTTGAGGTCCCTCCTCCCACCCACAGTCCCAGGAGATCATACCCCAGATGGCCGCCTGAGACGTGCACGCGGACACTGTCAATGTAGTTGTTGCAGCTGGAACAGATGACGGTGGGGTGGCCTGAGGTGGGGTCGAAGCTCATATTCAGACCAGCTGAAATAGAGATGCTCTCCACACTCAGGTCAAATTTGCCGCTGGTTTTGCTGTAGAGGAACACAGAAGAATTGGGGCAAGCACTCTCTTCCCCGCTGCCATTCAAACTTCAAGCCTGGGCTGGCCGGTGGGTTTCACTATTTGAGACGGAGTTCAGAGAGGGGAGGCAGCTTGCCCAAGGTCACAGAGCACTGAGTGAAGTGCGGGTCCATGTCCCACCAGGGAATGCTGCTCTTACCTACTACCTCTGCCCCTGTTGAGTGACTTTGGGTGTCCTAACTGCTCTGAGTTCCAACGGCCTCACCCAGACTCTTGGCCAACAGTTGAACCCTGGCTTTGCCCCTAAAAAGTTGAGGGCTTGGGGGCTGCTGACTTTAATTAATTAATACTCTCATTCATTAAATGGAGTTAATAACTCCTCCTCCAGAGACAAAACGAGTTTGGGTATGAGAGCAGACGTAACATATTTCGTCAACTCTCCTTCAATACAATAAAGTACTGTCATCTTTTTTGCCATCAATGAGTAAACTGATAGAGGCAAAAGAGCCCATGTGAAGAACTGAGGGGGCACCTGGGTGGCTCAGCAGTTGAGCATCTGCCTTTGGCCCAGGGTGTGATCCTGGGGTCCTGGGATGGAGTCCCACATGGGGCTCCCTGCAGGGAGCCTGCTTCTCCCTCTGCTTGTGTCTCTGCCTCTGTGTGTGTGTGTGTGTCTCTCATGAATAAATAAATAAAATCTTTAAAAACAAACAAAACAAACATTAAAAAAATAAATAAGCAATTCTTACCGTGAGGAAAGGACAAGTCAGCAGTCCTGAGGGTAGGGGTGGGTGAGTCCAGGAGGGCAGATCCATGACCCTCTCCCCAGAGTGCCTTCTCCATTTTGCCCCCGACTCCTCACCGTCACTGAAGTGATCGGTCATTCTGAGCCACCACCACTAGACGGCAGGCTTATCGTGGTGCGAACCCAGTATTAAGATTCAGAGTTGTAGTTTGGATGATTTGCCTCAATTTTTCACCCCTTTGCCTATCTTAGGGGGAGTTATGTGCATTTCCAAGCTCTTGACTTTGGGCTTGGCTGCATGATTTACTTTGGCCAATGGCATATGAGTAGGAGTGACCATAGGCCATTTCCAAGTCTAGGCCTATGGGTTTCCAGTTGCCCTATTTGCATGTCTGCCATCACCAAGGATATGCTCTCAGTAGCCCACTGGTCTAAGGGGGAGGAAGAAGAGATACATGTGGAGCAGAGCTACCTCAGCTGAGCTCAACCCAGATCAGCAGAACCCCAGAGGACACATAGATACATGGTGATAATGTATGACTTTTGTTTTCAGGGGTTGAGTTTGGGGTGTTTTATTACACAGCAACAGCCAACTGATAAAAGGGTAAATGAAAGGTCCCACTTAGCCTTCCATCCTAAACCACATGTATCAACTCTTGACAATGTCTTGCATTGTGATGTGGACAAATGCTCAACTATTAATCAAAGGCTATTTTGCATCTTCACATGTGAAAATAACCCCAGGAGTCTTGTGGGGACAAGTGGTGATGGATAAGGCAAAAATTGGGTATTCCGGAGACCTGGCTCTGGCCCCTTCCAAATATCACCAGGAGCTCACCCACATACTCAATAAACTGCAAGCTTGGAAACATACATGAAATTCTTTCGTGCCTTCCATTTTCCACTGATCTTGATGTTGGCATTTCTGATGGAGAGATCAAGGCCCTTATTGGGCACTAGTTTTATCTGGGAACTGGGAAGCTGGAATCCACGGATAACCATGCTGTGAAGAAGAAACGCTGTTAGCCTCCTGGGGACCCACACAAAGACTCAGTTAATGGTTAGTGCAGACTCACCCACCCCTACCCCCAATCCATCATTGCATCCATTCCAGGAGAACCCAGAAGCCATGAGAGCAGCCTTGGGAACTCTATGGGCAGAGTGGCTAGATGTTAAAGTCAGACACATCTGCATTAGAATCCTGCTCTTCAGTGTACTGTTGTGTGACCCTGGGCATGTCACTTAATCATCCTGAGCCTTGTTTTCTCATTTGTAACATGGGCACAATAATCTCCATCTTGCAGGAAGTGTGATGATTAATGAGGATAATGAATGTAATCTCAATTGGCTGCAAGTTCTGTAATGGGTGGAATGTATCTCTCTTGGTTCACTATTGTAGCAAAACCTGCTGGGTCACACACGTAGTAGGTGTTCAAAAATATCTGTTGAGTGAATAGGTGTATAAAATTCCATAGAGGACATTTATGGGTTTTCTGCCCAGCACCCTCACCCCCTTCATGTAGTAACAGAACTGCCTTTTTACTTTGGGGGAACCCCTCCTCACATCTACTCTATGTTGTTCCAAAGAAAGTTGACTTCACCTCCACCTTCTCAGAGTGAAGCTTCTGACTTGGGCATAAGCTAGTTAGTATAGGGTAGCCCTGGCCACATGTGGGTCCAGGGAGGTGTACATAACCTAAGATGGGGTAATTGGGGGGGAATCTTAGGTTTTTGGCTTGAGTTGCAAGAGAAAATTGCTGTCCTTCCACAGGATTTGCAGCACTGAGGAAATGCTGGTGGCCATCTTGCATCTTCATGGGGACACCCTACCTGAGAGTTGGACCTCCCCAAGGGAAGGGATGCTGAGAACCCCAAGGGAAAAAGAGGGTCCAATGACATTCGGGCCCACCTCAAGCTGGACCCAAAGCCAGGCTATTCCAGAGACTTCTCAGACGTGTGAGCCAATAAATTCTGGCTTGGGCCATTTTGGGTTAGGCTTCCTCTCCTTGAACCCTACCCCTTCTAAATGCTACTTGTTTTATGGGCCTGGCACAGAGTTTGGAGGTTCACGACACACTCCCCTTGCCTTGGGAGTCATAGTGAGTACCTTCTGTGGCATCCTCCACACTCAGCTTGGGGGATTCTATTCCGTTGGGGTAATGTCAACACTAGTTTGTGGATCTCAACCTCCTCTCTGAGTTTAGGAGTTTGGGGCTCTGTGCTTCTAGGTCTTGGTGGCCCCAGAACACTTCATGCTCCGTACACTCAGGATTGAGCTCGACTAGCCTCACCTGTAGAAACTGTAATGTCCTTTCCCAAGATGCTTGACCTTGAAGCTTCCCGAGAACGTGGGGATCTTGATCTTCTCCAGCTCCTTCTGTAGCACAGCCACGCCTTGCTGGCAGGCTGAGGGGCAAGAACAGGGCAGATGGTCAGAAGCTCAGCCCATCCCCATCCATACCGGAGTGGGGGGGGGTGGTCTGTAAAGGCTCAGATGGCAAATATTTTTGGTTTTGTGCCTCATTACTGTTTCTATCAGGACCACTCGGCTCTGCTGTAATTGCAGGAAAGCAACAATACCCAATATGTAAATGAATGGGTGTGGTTATGCTCCCATAAAACTTTATTTATAGACACTGAAATTTGAGTTTCATATAATTTTCACATGTTGTGACATAGTATTCTTTTGATTTTTTTCAACCATGATAATGTGAATGATAATGTGAATGCCACTCTTAGTTCACGGGCCATATGAAAACACATGGTGGGCCACATTTGGCCCAAGGGCTGTCGTTTGCCAATCTGTGGTCTCAAATATCACCCTAAACACTCAGTCATGTGTCCTATGTGTATTTATGGAACACTGACTCTGTCCCTCTCTCTGTGCTATGCCCTCACAGGTACGCCACCCTTCTGACTTTTTGGCCTCTGCCTCCACAGGACCTTTGCTTGTGCCTATACCTGCTGCCTAGGAAACCCTCCCCTCCCACCTTCCCCTGGCCAAATTCTAGTCAGCTCGATCATCACTTCCTCCAGGAACCTTCTCTGACCTAGTAGATGAGAGCAATCTCCCTTGTCATCATTCTCACGATGTGGGCATCTCCTGAGGAGCCCCCATTGCTATCTGTAAGTGCACCTCTCTTCAAGTGACTTTGTGATTACTATCTCCTCCCACTGCTAGACACAAGTCCTTCAAGGCTTGCAGCAGGAATGTCTATTTTATTTATGAATGTGGCCCTTACATTTACCACAGTGATTGGCACTTACTATTAGAAGGCACTTAATATTTGTTGAACAAATAAATGAATGAATGCCCAATGTCAAGAATCTTGCCATCTGTTATTATGCGGCTAACAGCATAATAACCAGTTGAAAGACAAACATGTTACTTGAGAAGGAGGAAGTAAAGAAGACGGATCCCAGGCTTTGTGTTTTCCAACAGCCAGTTAGGAAATGACAACTGTCATCACCACCACCGCTACCATTTATCTGAGCCAGGCATTGTCCTGCGCTCTGGTACAGGTATTAAACTATTGAATCTGAATAACTCCAGGAAGTAGGTCCCATTACCACCCCCAATTCACAGATGAGGAAGCTGAAATTTGGAGAAGTGGCCACACAGCTGACAAGGGATGGATCAGGATTTTTTTTTTTTGTTTGTTTGTTTTTTTTTAAATTTTTTTAATTTATTTATGATAGTCACAGAGAGAGAGAGAGAGAGGCGCAGAGACATAGGCAGAGGGAGAAGCAGGCTCCATGCACCGGGAGCCCGATGTGGGATTTGATCCTGGGTCTCCAGGATCGCGCCCTGGGCCAAAGGCAGGCGCCAAACCGCTGCGCCACCCAGGGATCCCTGGATCAGGATTTGAATCCAGGACTTCTGGTCCCAGAGCCCATGCACCAGGACGGGTCTCCTGGAGATTCAAAAGTGAACAATGCATACAGAGTCACTGACTGGAGGGGAAGGAAAATGTACAATGGCCAGGATCTGTGTGGGGTCAGCAGGAGCCAGGCCTTAAAGGGTCTCAACTGCCATTCCAAAGGGTCAGGATATCTTGACCCCCAGGGATAAGAGCAGATTGGGTGCCTTTCAGGAAACACACTCTGGTTGCCACATGGAGAGATTGGGGCTGCCGCAACAGAACATGAAGACTTCTGGGTTTAAAGGCTGAGCCCACGCCACTGCTCCTGGGAAGCCCTCAGACTAGCCATACTCTTGTCTTTGAGCTCACATGGAGCCTTCTGGTGGCACCCCTGGGATTCAGAGGTGTCCCACCAGGTCCCCCTGAGTGCTGTCCTGATTCCCTCAGTGGAACACCAGCTGATGGGCCTCTGGCTCCTCCCTGGTCTGATTTTTCTGCGGCTGGCTCTCCCCCACCAGTCCACAGTTCGTCTCTCCACCCCTGGGAGACAGCATCAAGCAGCCCCACGTGGGGACATCGGCCAAGACTGGAGGTCCCATCCAGACCCGCCTACTTCCCCAGTCCCTTCTCCAAATTTCGGTTTGCTCATCTGTAAATTGTTGCTAGTAACAGTATGTCCCACCCAGGGCTGAAGTAAAGGTGAAAGGAAATCAGGTGTGTAAGGTGCCTGGCAGAGATCCAGGCAGGGCAGCAGGGGTGGTTCCAGGCCACTCTCTCCTCCGTCTGGGCCTGGGTGAGTGGCCCAGAGGGAACCTCTCGGGGGCATCCGGATGGGTAATGTGCACAATATGGCTGTGCCAAGCCCCTGGCTGGGGGAGACCACGAAGAAGGCCCTCCCTTCCTTCCCTTCCCCATCACTCAGCCTCCTTGCAGGGCCTGGGCACTGCCCACGCTGGAGACTGAGCCAGGGATCTCAAGGCAAATGACAGGACTGAGAACCAGCTCTGGAGGGAAGATAAGGGCCTAGAAGCCTGAGTTGGCGGCTGGGGAGAGAGAGGGAGGGGACTGTGAGGACCCATGGGGGCCTGAGCACTGGCCCTGGAGTTCACCAGACCAGCATCTAATCACAGCACTGCCGCTTTGCAGCTCTGTGACCTTGGGCAACTCACCTTGTCTCAGTTTCTTCATCTATGTGACAGGGGATAAGAGAGCCTCCTTTGAGGAGCAGTGAGCTCCTGGATTTAAATGGCTGCACACAGCAGGTGCTCAATAAGTGCTCTTTAGGGGCAGAAGAGGAGGGAAGGAAGGCATCTGATTACCGTAGTCCAGGCCTTTCTGGGTGATCCTGGCCACGACTCCAGGGTTGGTGGTGGTCACAACAGCAGCTGTGCCCAGGGTGGCCAGCACCAGCAGGGTTGCCCATCTCAGTGCGTTGTCAGGGTGCCTGGCCATGTCTTCGTCCTCCAAAGCTGCCAAGGCCTTGAGGCCTCGAAGGAGAGCCAGGGATCTATAAAGGAGCTGGCTGGGGAAATGCAAGCCAGTTGGATGTAGAAAGGAGGAAGGAAACTGAGTGGGGGCGGGAGAGGGGGAGGGCTGTTGCCTGCCATGGTTGGGGCCCACAGTGGAGCCTGGGAGCTGGGGATTGAAGGGGAGTAGGTGGGCATGGGACATGTGTGTGTGCACCCATATCTGTGTGTGTGAATGGGGTGGGGGTGCGTGTTTGGCAGGCATGTATGGTGTGTGTGTGTAGCAATGTGTGTGGTGGTGCTGTGTGTGGGATATGTATGGGGATGGTGGTGGGGGGGGTATGTGTGATATGTGTGGGGTATGTGTGGTGTGCGTGCATAATAGGATGAGATTTCTGGCTCTGGGCATCGTTCCCTAGGCATCCCTGTACCCCTCTCTGAGCCCTCACCCAAATCCCTCCACCTAAGAACTTCATTGAAGCTGGATCATTGGTATATCAGGATTTGTCATATTTTTCTTTCTCCCCCACACTATTGAGATATAATGGACACATACAATTGTACAAATTTACAGTATATACCATGAGACTGCCACAGCCAAGCTAATTAACACATCCATCACCTCACATGCAGCTATCATTGGGGGGGGGGGGGCATTTAAATCTACTCAGCAAATCCAGAAAATATGTTATAGGGATCCCTGGGTGGCGCAGCGGTTTGGCGCCTGCCTTTGGCCCAGGGCACGATCCTGGAGACCTGGGATTGAATCCCACGTCAGGCTCCCGGTGCATGGAGCCTGCTTCTCCCTCTGCCTATGTCTCTGCCTCTCTCTCTCTTTCTCTCTGTATGACTATCATAAATAAATAATAAAAAAAATTTTTTTTTAAAAGAAAATATGTTATAGTATTCTTAACTATACTTAAACCATGCTGTACATTAGATCCCCAGAACTTACTCACTTTATAAAGTTACATTTTTCTTTGCATTTTTAATATCCTTGATAATTTCCACAGTAAACTATTTTTTAAAAACAGACCCTTTAGCATTTTCTCGTCCCGAGAGACAGTAGTGGTAATCATTAAATGCTTGGATTTTTGGAACTCAAAATCCAAGGGCTTGGCTGTGGTTTTAAATCTCAGCCCAGCCACTCTCTGGTGGTCTGACCCGGGTCAAGCCCCTTAACCTCTCTGGAACTGAATTTCCTCCTCTGTAAAGTGGGGACAATCAGAGTACCCTCCTTCCTTGGATTATTGTGAAGACAGAAAGGGCTTTCAACCACGTAAGGCACTTAGCACAAGGCCTTGCGTAATACGCACAGAAACGGTAGCTCTGAACCTCTCTCTGACTTTAAAAGCAGCCCATGTTCACAGGGCAAAATTTGAGAAAGAACCAAGAGAATTAAAACCACGTGGAAACCCCGATTCTAGAGACAAGGTGTTTTGTGTTTCTTAGAGTATCCTTTCCCCCATATTTAGTAAGCATAGATAGAGTTTGTTGTTTTTTAACAGAGAAAAACGGGATCACACTGCTCAGTGTTGTCAAGTTCCCGTTTTTCAGTCAACGTAGTGAATGTTCTCGTCAACATCCCTCCACACGCACCGTGTATTATTGCTTCCTCATCCCACAGCTTTCTTCACCAAGCTTTTGTTTTTGCTCCTTTCCACCCCTTCCTTGGACAGACACAGGACCTGAGGTTTGGGGAGGGGAACTGCTCTTCCCACGGTCACGGTCACGGTCACGCAGGCTCCGCGGGCCGAGGGGGACCCCGCGCCCACCGCACCCGCGGCCGCGTCCCTCTGCGCTTGGGGGGTTCGTGGGGGCGGCCCCCGTGGGCGCTCCCCACCCCCACCCCAGCTTTCCAGGCGGGGCTCGGTCGGCTCGGCCGGCCCCTCCCTTTGGCAGCAGCCTCAGGCCCTGGGTGGGCCGGAACCCCGCCGGGCAGCCGGCTCAGTCTCCATGGTGATGAGAGGAGGGGCGGGGCGGGAGGGGGAGGCCCGCGTCTCTCCTGCTGGGTCCCCGACAGCCCCCTGGCGCCCTGTCTCCCCGACTCTAATTTAATGAAAGTCTAATGAAGCCCGCTGAGCGGGGAGGATGTGAGACCGGAGTTGGTTGGGTTGGGTTGGGTTTGCTTCTCTTTGCCAGGTCCTCAAAGGCTCTCCTTCCTGCCCCCATCCACAACAAGAATCCTTCGGGCTTGCTTAGGAATGAAAACAGTGGCCACGTACAGAACATCTACTGTGTGCCAGACGCTTTACATATATTCTCTCCAGGCCTAAAAACAACCCTTGAGGGAGGGATGGGGGGGAGGGTGATTGTTCTTTCCATTTTGGAGTTAAGAAAACTGAGCCATTTTATGTCCCTGTCAAGGTCACACTGCCTTTCCTGGAGAGAAGACTTCCTCCTCTTACTTGGGGCAGTTGCCAGGAGGACTTGTCACCCTGGGCCTTCACCCTACCTCTACTTTCTTAGAGCCCCAGAGTCAGATGTCTGTGTCGGAAGGAAGATAGCAGTCAAAACACACAGACTGATGATTTGTCAAGAAAATTAGGCTTTTGTAAAAATTATGTTATGTAGTTTTGAACACTTGCAGCTCTAACTGCCCCAAATTCCTGAGTCCCTTGGGGCTGGGAAGAGGTTGCATGGGTGAGGGCGTCAGACAGGAAAGAAACATTACAATGGAACTCATGTGACTATGACTTACATTGCCACAAAAAGGAAATCTTAAAGCCAACTGGCAAGTTTCTGAATAAGCCACCTCCCCCCTGGCTTCCCTCTGATGGCTCATGCCCAACCAAATCCAGATGAATCCATTGGTGACCCTACAGTCTCCTCTTCAGTGCTGCTACAGGCCACGGAGTTGCCCTACTGCTTCAGATCTGACTCTCTACTCTGCATGAGTGACAATGTTTTCAACCCAAGTAACAGAAATCCCCAATTCACATTGACTTCAACAATAAGTGTGTTATCTCAGAGAAGTCCAAAGAGAGAGCAGGTATAAAGTTCTAGCTGATTCAGCAGCCAGTGGACATTTGCCATTTCTCCAACTCTCCACTCTGTTAACCTAGTGTCTCAGATTTACTCTCACACTGGCTTCTTCCATGGCTGTAAAGTAGCTGCAGCAGCTCCGGCCATCACATCTAAGTAAGCTTCTTCCAATGCCTCCTCCTCCTCTGCTCCTCTTCTTCCTCCTTTTTTTTGGGGGGTCTTATTACTATTATTGTAAAATATTTTAAATATATAGATAAGAATAGACTACCGAGGTTTATAAAAATCTTAACATTATGCCATATTTTCTTTTTTTGCCATATTTACTTTCTTTTTTTTTTTCCAAAGATTTTATTTATTTATTCATGAGAGACACACACACACAGAGAAAAGCAGAAACACAGGCAGAGGGAGAAGCAGGCTCCATGCAGGGAGCCCGATATGGGACTCGATCCCGGGACTCCGGGATCACGCCCTGGGCAGAAGGCAGGCGCTAAACCGCTGAGCCACCTGGGGATCCCCATGTTTACTTTCTATAGCTCTATTAATTTTCATATATGTGTAGTTCTAGGTAACCAGGACCACATTAAGAATTAGAATATTCCCATGATCCTCTCACACCCTCTCCTGCTATCCCAGCTCAACATGGCTGAAAGCATAAGGGAAATACCTGATCCCTGCAGGAACTCCAAGGTGCATGGATCAGAAGTTGGTTAATTCAGGGGCTGGTTTTATTCATCTCTCTACTCTGTGGTCCTTAAGACATTGAATTTTCCCAGAGGAAAACGCATTGAGTTTGGAGCTGATGAACCTGGGTCCATTGTTCCAGCCAGGCTACCCACTCTCTGTGCACCTCTGATCAAACTCTTTTACCCTTCTGAAATTTATCCTTATTTAAAAATGGGGAAACACTGCCTCTTATGTGCTATGTTCTGCGGATGACATGAGATAAGATGTGAATTAGTTTGCACGGAGAAGTTGCTCAGTGCATAGTCTTTTTTTTCTTTTTTCTTTAATATATTTTTTTAAATTTTTATTTATTTATGATAGTCACAGAGAGAGAGAGAGAGGCAGAGACATAGGCAGAGGGAGAAGCAGGCTCCATGCACCGGGAGCCCGACGTGGGATTCGATCCCAGGTCTCCAGGATCGTGCCCTGGGCCAAAGGCAGGCGCTAAACCGCTGCGCCACCCAGGGATCCCTCAGTGCATAGTCTTAATCCGACCTTCATCACTAGCTGGCTGGAGAGTCCTGGAGCCCCCAGGAAAACACACCATGGGGCACCACACTGAGCTCTCCAACCTCTGAGCTTTGGGTTTGGGCTGGATACATGTAGGAGAGAGGAATCCATGGCTCACGTTGCCTCTGGGAGCCTGCACTTGTGGTGCTGTGAGAGGTGATCCCTTCCCACACAGCAAAGCAGTCAAGAGCGTGTGGGCTGGGAACCTTATAGATGGGGCCGAGTCCCAGCTCACCACTTGCTCGCTGTGGGAGTTTCAGCTGGTAGCCTAACCTGGCTGAACCTCAGCTTTCTCATTTACCCCCACTTGATCCTCAAACACAGGTCCTTCCTTCATGGAGATCAGACCTCAAGGTGAGGTACCGACAAGGCAGTCAGACATTGCCCCGTGTGGGTTACCCCTTGGGAGGGTGCCTCCTACCCTGTCACGCTAAAGATGTGTCTGTCTCCTGAGCCTCACTCTCATAAAAGGGCCTGCTTGGGGACCCTGGTCCGGGAGGTGCAGGTAGATCTTCCTCACCGTAGAGTATTGCTGCTGCTGTAATTTCTGCTGCAATTTCTGCAGTCCCAGAGCAGATCACAAGATATATTTAATGGTGAACAAATGAAGGGAGGATCAGAATCCAGATCATAAATTCCAGACAGCAAGAGCTTGGAGCCTGAGGACTAGCACAGCCTGAGCTGACAATCCTGCAAGGCTGCCAGTAGGAGGCGACCTCTCCTCTCCTCTCCTCCCTCCCTCCCCTCCCCTCCCCTCCCCTCCCCTCCCCTCCCCTCCCCTCTCCTCTCTTCTCTCAGTATGGTGCTTATAGAAGGTTTGCTTCTG